ACTAACCACTCACCTGGGGACACTAACCACTACCTGGGGACACTAACCACTACCTGGGAACACTAACCACTACCTGGGGACACTAACCACACACCTGGGGACACTAACCACAACCTGGGGACACTAACCACTACCTGGGGACACTAACCTCTACCTGGGGACACTAACCACTACCTTGGGACACTAACCACTCACCTGGGGACACTAGCCACTACATGGGGACACTAACCACTACCTGGGGACACTAACCACAACCTGGGGACACTAACCACAACCTGGGGACACTAACCACTACCTGGGGACACTAACCACTCACCTGGGGACACTAGCCACTCACCTGGGGACACTAACCACAACCTGGGGACACTAACCACTACCTGGGGACACTAACCACTCACCTGGGGGCACTAACTAACCACTAACCCGGGGGTACTAACCACACATGGAGGCATCTTAAAATCTTTGTAATAAATTTTGCAGTTAGTAGATGCCGGGAGCATTTATAGGTGTTCAGGAGTTAAACTTCACTTTAGCTGGTTGTACCATTCGCCGGCTCAACGCCTCGGAGCTGGACAGCAAGGCATTTTCAAAGTTCGAGGAAGATAGTTCCAGAAAGATGACGTAGCAGAAGGCCGAAGCCGGCTTCTGTCACGGGAGCTCAGCACAAAGAACCTCTTGCCTCAACGGTTAGAACAGAACTCGCTGATAACTTTGGCCTATTGTCCAGCATTATTCTTGCAGCATCCTTGTGTGTCTCGCTTCGAGTCACCGACATGTGGAACAGCCTCCCTGAAGATATTGTTGACGCTCCGAGTATGAACGCGTTCAAGAACAGACTAGACATGCAGGAGCATATGTTAAGTCTTAAAGTGCCTCGTACCCTACGGAACAACTGATATCTAGAAGCGATTTTAAATCTACCGTCCGTTGAAAAGATTGGATCAAAAGGCCAGTCTAGTCAAGAAAAGTACGAGAATCGGCGACAGGCCTATCCAGTCCTATTCTTTAAGACCGAAGATACTATACTATACTATTTTCTCCAGGTGTTGCATTTGGCTTCGCGCAATGCGTTCCTTTCGGAGCCTACGCGGTGGTGATGTTCTACGGTGGTTACCTCGTTGACAAAGGAGCTATGCCCTATGAAAACGTCTTCAAGTGAGATCAATATTATACTGTGGGAAGTTTTCTTTTTCGTAATTCGCAAATAAAGCTTGAACTAGTTGTAACTGATAGAAATTGGACCTCGTAATTATCATTGTCTGAACATGTTTAAAGATTGAAATTGATGTATTCTGGCTATGCATTTCTTAACAACACTCGTGGAATGTCACAAAGTGGAATGTTATTGAACTCTGTTAATTCTTCGCATTAAATAATGACTCCAGAGTAATATTTATATAATTATCAATATTATGAAACCGTATTTTTTTGACATTTGAGGAGCCCGAATTCGTCCAAAATCTCTACGATAATTATTTCATGTCTTACAGTTAACACGTCCTGTGCAGGGTGGCAGAGGCAATCATCTTTGGCACGATGATGGTTGGTCAGGCCGTCGCCTTCGCCCCCAACTACGCCAAAGGAAAAGTCGCCGCTGCCAGAATCTTCAAGCTGCTGGCACGCGTTCCTCTCATCGACTCGTCGCCGTCAGTTGGTCGCACGCTGGTGGGTTAGGGTCTTTGACTATGAAATTGTTGAGAATTTATGTAGGGTTGAATACTTTGCCAGACATTCTTTACTTTGAGATCTTTGAAGTTTACCAAAAGCTCGATTTTTAATCGTCTTTTTTGTTAGTAGTCATGAAAAAATAACTCATGAGTATTTTCATCACATACCTATATGTTCTAACTCATTTCAGGTATTGCCGGCTGATAATGACCATTATTAGTGTAATATTTGGCTTATCTCATTTTTATTTATTATTAAAACCTGTTCATTTCTGTCCTAGATCATTTTAGATTAAGCTCTACCTGAGGATCGGGTTACGTGACTAAGGTAGTGAGGGATAAGTAAGACGCATCTGTCCAGATAACATATCTTATTTACGGTGCGATTATACAAAAGTACAATACAGAGGTATAAGCTACGGCGTCGACCGTAAGATCGGAGAACCGACCGACACGTTACATCGCGAGGCGCTTATCAACTACTGCGGGGCCTTACTTAAGGCCGCTAGCCCTTATATAGCCTTCGGCTTCCGCCCACAACTAATTTCTTGACCAGAGACGAGTCATCCAGATGTTGACTCGTCATCATTCTCTATTAGGTCAAGTGAATATTACATCTCAATTACATACAATTATGATTATAGTGAGACGCCAGAGTGAAACCGGACATTTCTTGCAGAATGAGGAATTTGACGAAGTGCGTCTCCACGACGTGCACTTCCGGTACCCGAACCGCGAGGACGTGCAGATCCTGCAGGGCCTGAGCCTGGTCGTGTCCAAGGGCAAGACGTTGGCCCTCGTCGGGTCCTCAGGATGCGGCAAGTCCACCGTCATCAGTCTCATCGAGCGCTTCTACGATCCCGAGAAGGGAAAGCTGGTCGGTTGAATGGGATATTAGTCTTCTTATTTTTTATAGCATTCATACAATGACAAATACTAGGAAAACTGGTGTGTGCTACGATGTTTCTGATTCTCCAGTCATTGATCCTACCATGATAAAAATGAAAGAAAACGCGAGTTACGCCCGACATTTGGCCACGTATTAGCTGTATTAGTCATTTAATGGTAAATTTTCTTCATTGATATCAGTCATGACGAATTTCGGTACTGATGGAGCTTTTTTATTTGGCGTTGTCTGTACATCATTTCATTCGTGGCTATTAGTGCTTCGAAATATTTTCACCGATCACGTTTTTCTGATCGGATGTAGTATAATGGCGAAGCACATCCGGATTTTGATTTGGAATTTCTAGCTGAAGCTTGACCTGATAACCTCATATAGCGTTCTATAGTCAAGTGAGTTTTCTAAAATTTCTTTTCATTCCATAGACGATCAACAACGAAGACTTGAAGGGACTGAATGTTGGCAGCGTGAGGCGCGGTGTCGGGCTCGTGTCGCAGGTATAGCCGCTAGAACTGACTTCTTGAAATAGTTCAATTATGTTTTATCTACGTCTTATATTTACGAAGACTGCAGTGAGTTGGGGCAGGGTGGCCCAGTGGTTACAGTTCAGAGTACCAAGATTGGCGCAGAGAGTTGCGGGTTCGATCCCAGCTCTGTGCGACAGTTTCTGGTCAGAATCGGCTAGGAGGCCGGGCGGTTAAGCACAGCAGAATTGTAGCAATGAGTTGCGCGTTCGAGACCGCAATATGCTGTGAATGTTCTGCGATGTTAAGAATCGGCAACAGGCCTACGGCCTAATAAACGCTGAAACCGCTATTATTTATATATTCTTACTTTTTACTTTATTACGACCAAAGTTTAGAAAACGAACATTATTGCAAAATTTTCTGTGCTAATCGAATCGGATAAAAAATCACAATTTGAAGCGCATTTTCTCATTTATGGAAAAAATGCACTATTGTGCTCGCCATGTCCGTCTGTTCGTCCGTCCGTCTGTCTGTCCGTCCGTGACTTCACGTTTTCGTTGACGAGAAAATGCGCTCTCTGTCGCTCCCTGCAGTGAGTACTGAGTTACATTTTTTATAATTGAATATGAGTTGAGAACTGCATCGAAGGGTCATAGTTTCGTGGTATAATTGTTACAACTTTGGTGGTAATAGATCCTTAGATTGAAGTTTGACAATCTAATCTCTTAATTCATTAGGTTTGATTATATAGCATTTAATGTAAAATTAAATATAATTGTGGCGGCTGATTATCGCTACTTGACAGATGCTACGGAATTGGAAGTCGTTTCAAAAGCGAGCGGGAATGGCGAAATACACAAAAATAATCTCGTGTTAATAACTTTATAAATGATGTGACGTTCTCAGGAGCCGTTGCTGTTCGACCTGAGCATCAGAGAGAACATCGCGTACGGGGACAACAGCCGCGAAGTTCCCTTTGATGAGATCGTCGCCGCCGCCAAGCAAGCCAACATCAGCAGCTTCATCGAGTCTCTTCCTGAGGTGCGATATATACGAAGCAACACGCCTTAACGACCAATCACAAACGACATTCAAAACAAAAAACGATCGCTCAAGTCAAACGAGTTCAACTGGTAGGATCCGGTTCTTGGACCTGCACAAAAATACGTTGAATATTAATATTTCAACGCTCCCAAACACTTGCTTTGATTATTTTCCTAATTCAAGTGCTTGAAAAGAGTATAAAAACACTGAAACTTCATTATTTGGCCCCCTGGGCTCTCGTGAATTTGCTTCCCGCATTATTCAGTCTTCCAGTGAATGAGTTAGCAAAACTACTATAATTAAGCCACCCACGTGCAGAAATACAACACTCGCGTGGGGTCCAAAGGCACGCAGCTGAGCGGCGGCCAGAAGCAGAGGATCGCCATCGCCCGCGCCCTCGTCAGGAACCCAAGCGTCCTCATGCTCGACGAGGCCACGTCCGCGCTCGACACCGAGAGCGAGGCTGTCAGTTGCTTTTTATAAAGATATTTATTCTTATTTTTGATCATTTTTTATGAAGTGTTACATTTGGATGAGGAAAAGCGTTTCACATTTCTTATGAAGCGTTACATCGGGTTGGAAATGTTTCACGTTTTTTATGCAGCATTCCATGGGACTGGAATGCTCCGTTCCGTTCTCTTGTGTTTTATACACTGATCTCTACTGTATTAATTTTGGTAGAATGCATCTAGATAAAATAGGGAGTGTGAATGCATCTAGTCTTTAATAAATGCATCTTCATTTATTAAAGAATAACTAGTGGTTGGTATTGGACTTACAATTTCCATATTTTTCATAACATACCTTGCATAGCATGATGCAATTTGAAAGTTTATAACTAACAATTCCCACCATCATCTGACACGTATGTCTAAGAGCTGAAATATGCCAGTTCATTTATTTATCTTCAGACAAAACGTGGAAATTCTTCAGACAAATCTAAACTAGTTATTCATCGTAAAAAATGAAATATAAACTTATTGCACTATGATACAAGCTGAAATTAGTTAATATAGACAGGTGATCGATTGGTGTGTAGGTTAGTTTTCTTTCCGGTTTCAATTAAGAAACGTCTTTCCAACGTTGATTTTTTTATAGCATTTGTAAAATTAATTGTAAAACCATTTTCTGGGCAGGTGGTGCAGGAAGCTTTAGACAAAGCTCAGGCTGGAAGAACGAGCATCGTGATCGCCCACCGCCTCTCTACCATCCAGGGCGCCGACACCATCGCCGTCATCAGCAGCGGCAAGCTCGTCGAGAGCGGCACGCACGACCAGCTCATGGCGCGCAATGGGCACTATGCTCAGCTATACCAGTCTAACCGGTGACTCTTATCAAATTTAATCAATACCTAAAAACGTAAAAGCAAAGAGGCGTGCAATGGGCACTATGCTCAGCTATACCAGTCTAACCGGTGACTAGCATCAAATTTAATCAATAACGTATGGAATGAATCAAATGAAGACATTTGATGTCGACAAGTATTTTTACGTTTTTATCCGGAAAGTAAAAATTTTCTTAGATTAAATCAGAATATTTATGAATTATTAAATAGCATAATAAAAATCTTAAATATACCTGTAAATAAAATGAAAGCATTCTATAAATAGTAGGCTTGTGATATATTTTCAAACAGTGCTGTGTTGTTACTTTGCAAAATCACATCGTCTGTAGCCAACACTGTTTTGTTACTGTGTCTCGTAAGAAAAGCATCATATTTGTTTACGCAACTCTTGCTCCTTCTTTTCAATCTAGCCAAATATTTGTTCCGGTCGAAGAATTTTACAGATAGGAATATTCAGAAAAGAATACAACAATGAAGTGAGTTTACTTTTTTCAAATCCCATATTGACGTATCATTGCTCCTACTATTAGAAAATATTCGATAAGGTATCATCTTAGGTATGTGCATCCTTAGGTAAGCGTGGCTTGTAATTGAGGAATTCGTTCGAGACGCGATTATGCTGCCACATTCATGTTACTACATACAAGTATTGTAGTTTTTTTCACCTGACGTTTTTTTTTTTCATCCACTCTTTCAAGTCGTGGATTTGGTTGCACATACATGGAAACCAGGCTGACCTGAGAGGTTACTGCGGACATACGGCCCTCTGTCGCGTCGCGTAACTGGTAAGGCATGGTGTATTTATAGCGTTGTTTGCGATTTTACAGCTCTGAGGCTGAATGTAGTTGCGCATATTTAGGCTGAGCGTTTCCTCCACGGCTAGTTTAAAACGCTCCAAAAATGGGAAGCATGTTAGTGGCAAACGGCTGCGCTCCCAAACCGAAGGCAGATGTCGCCTCTCATAAGTCTAGAGGGAACCGAAACATACGCAGAACATTGCTAATAGAATAGAATAGAAGTGTCGGCACTGAAGAAATAGGCCCATGGCCTGTGGAAATGGGCCTATATAACTACGTTTTCGTAATTTCAAGCCGATCCGTTCAGTATTAATGGGCAAAAGGCTGGTTCGCTTGAGCGTAAAGTTAGGTTTTGCGTTTGAGTCTGCATGCGAGTTCGGGTAATATAGAATTCAGTATAGTGGGAAATATTTTTGTAGAATTGAATGACGCAGAGGTTGTCTGCCTCGATTAGGCTCGTTTTTTTTCAATCTACTTAAGCTTTGGGTAGCCGAGTGTTTAAGAATACCTACCTATGTTGGGTCGGGTCGCCTGCCGAAGACCACAACTGCCCTGGATGTAATGGACCATCATGATTCCTGCATTCCGGAACGTAGCCTTCAACACTTCAAGCCGTCCGTATCTAGGCCGTGGGTCGAACCAGCCCTCGGTCGAACGGCTACTTGTCGAAGGACGATAAATTTTGGAACAGAACTATGCTATCTGAAACCTAACCTCAGATGCGGTGAACGTAAAATCACGTAATTTAACGAAACTATGCTATCTGAAACCTAACCTCAGATGCGGTGAACGTAAAATTACGTAATTTAACGATGCCCGGAAGTCAGATTCGATCCGCGGCCTGGTGGTGCACGGCAGGTGGTGGTCAAGGCCGGAGGAGGACAAAGGCGAGTGGTGCACGGCTGATTGGTGGATATCCGGAGAGATCCAAGGGGTTCGATTCAAGGCTTATTGGTGCACAAAATTGGTGGTGCACGGCTGCGCTCCCTGTTGGGTCTACAAGTAGGGGGTTAGAAACTCGCACCCATTTTGAAAAATTCTGGTCGAAATTGACAAAGTGGATTATTGGCTAAAGGTCGACGATAGGCCCAGCCATGTATTAATTCAACCATGGGCCCAGCATAGCCAACTTGGAGCTGAAACTGCCATTATAAATACGTTTATATTACAATTCCATGAAATCATACGTGTTTGTTGGTACAAATACTTGACAATGTACAATTGCTACAAGTTATTTTATTTACTCAAACCTATTTAATTATTGACACCAGGAAAAGTAATCGAATCCGTTAATGCGTAAACAGGAACTGAACCTGGGTGTCGTGACTCGTGACGACGTGCCGGCAAGTTGTCACCAACACATTGAGGAAAAATTTATGGTTAGAACCGTATTTCAAAAACAGAATTATGGCTTATTTATTGTCTGGAAGAGTTGCACTTGTGACAGGTATGAATGATATTGTTAAATGTATGTAAAACATTCTAATGTAGGTATGTAAATCAAGATATTTTAATTCTGGATTAGAAACACCAGAATTGGAAAGCATGCAGTCGTAATCACGTAAGTCGTAATGTAATTATGAATGAAGGCGTAATGAATAATGTGATGAAGCTTGCAGAATGTGCTCATTCATTACTAGCAGTAGTACATGATCACTCAATGATGATGTCCTCCTCTTCCTTTGTAGATGATGTAGAATAAATGACATTTTCTGTGATGTGATTTTTACTTTTTTTTTTCTGTAATTGATATGATATTAGCTAGAATGTCCATATTGCATATCCATACATTACCATATTATTTATTCATGATGTGATATTACCATATCCATGGAGCGGCATGGACATGCCATTTACTAGCATTGACAATGACAACAACATTGTCCACTGCTGCACTGCAAGCTTCATATCAGCACAGCAGCCGTAGCCTAAAGCATTTCTTCTGTATCTGTAAGCTTACAGGCTACAGCCTACAGGATGACTTGTATTTGTAATTTAAAAGTCAAACCATTTTAATTGGGTAATGACCGTACCTACCTAGGGTAAACGCGGTATATTCCGACATCGTAGGTAATTCCGTCACCTCTCCAGCTTTTCCTTTATATTAAGCTTTGTTTTAGTTCCCTGTATTCATTGATGGTTGAAATGGTGATGTCATACATTTGCGTGTCGAAATACTGCAAAAACACTAGGTCTTGGCCATCTAGTGGGAAAATATTGAGATCCAAAGAGAGACAATGTATGCCACGTGGTGAGATCATCGAAAAATGTGTCAAATTTGACAGTTGACATGACTCTACCAAATAGTGAATAACTGTTTTTATAGGAAGAATATTATGGTTTGAGACTTTTAAATACGTCTGTGAATATATTAGGAATCCTTTAAGTAACTATACTTGTATTCGCTGATTTCAAGTCGTAAATAAATTAATAGATGATTAAGTTGAGATGTTGGATTTAGACACATGAAAACTAATTCCGACACAACTTGAATTGGACACACACAGATCGTTCAAAGCTTTGTACAAAAATTGAAATTTGCTTAATTAAAAGCCATTGCTGACGCGTAGTGAAGTGTTTTGAGAGTCATGTGAAGGCAACAGAACTTACGTAACGCATACGTTTTTTTTTTATAGTTTTGCATTTCTCGATGTGTCCTTAATGTGTCGGAATATACCGCGTTTACCCTAATGTGAGTTCACTTTATTTCAGTAAAACTAGAAAAATTTTATAAGAAAATACCTGAAAGTCTAAAACAAAAAAATATATATTTTAGTGACAACTATCATATTTTTGGAGGAATAAAGCATAGTTTAGGTTACTTATTTTTTGTTCTATGTTGCCTGCTATGCCTGGTAGGCTGGTACACAATACAATTCTATGTATGACATTCTATGCACAATTTTGTTAAGACCAATGATGCATTAATATTTTGTTAAGGTAATTTTTTTGGCTGAGGCCTGAGTGAGGTAAATGTAGGCTAATCAAAATTTTTTGTTGGATATTGATTTTTTGTTAACTAGAGCTCTTGCTAATCAAGGTTCTGCTGTAAATGCGTTTTTCAGGGTGTCCCTTATTACCCAATTGTGCGGAAATGGCCGCCATTTTAGGGTAAACGCGGTATATTCCGTTGTATTAAGGGCGCATTGAGAAATGAAAAACTATAAAAAAAATGTATGCGTTACTCAAGTTCTGTTTGCTTTATGTGACTCTCAAAACACTGTACTACGCGTCAGCAACAATGAAACGTCACAAAATATTGCCATATTTATTTAAGAGCCTTTAGAATGCAAACCTACCAAATCCCTATATTCCGTCACTGTGTGTGGCTACATTCGGCACGTGGTGAGGCGTATTCCGTCCGCGCTTCAAATTCTACTGATGCGTAATGCCGTCATCCACGTGTTCGAATTGCGTTTGCAGTGTGAGATGTATTGGAATACAACATGGCTTTGAATTAGAACCCTAATGAATATTGAACACTACTTAATTAGGCTTTTAATTAACAACTATTAAGCTTTCAATTAAGCAAATTTCAATTTTTGTATACAGCTTGGAACGATCTGTGTGTGTCCAATTCAAGTTGTGACGGAATTAGTTTTCATGTGTCTAAACCCATTTCTCAACTTTATCATCTATTAATTTATATACCACTTGAAATCAGCAAATACAAGTATACTTAAAGTTAAAGGATTCCTAATATATTCACAGATGTATTTAAAAGTCTCATACCATAATATTCTTCCTATACAAACAGTTATTCACTAGTATTTGGTAGAGCAAGGTCAACTGTCAAATTTGACACATTTTCTCAATATTTCCCGGCTAGATGGCCAAGACCTAATGTTTTGGCAGTAGTTTGACGCGCAAATGTATGACGTCACCATTTCAACCATCAACGAACGCATGGAACTAAAACAAAGCTTAATATGAAGGAAAAACTAGAGAGGTGACGGAACTACCCACGATATCGGAATATACCACGTTTACCCTACACATCATTAACACATGTCCTATCAATCATGTTTTTAAGCCAACCCATGTGTGCAACTTTTATGTACATAAAATTTGTTATCTGGTTCTGGTGAATCTTTTTTTTTTCTACAGACCTTAGCAGAGATACTTTTCCAAACTCAGTGAAAATCTCACTTTTCACACTTTTTTTAGAGGTAGTAAATCTATGATTTTTTAACGTTCTTTATGCTACATAGGATAGTAAATATATTGAACTTTACGCCACTATTTTTAGTTTTACAATATTTTTATTAGTTTTGCTGCTACAACATTTTGGACAACTGTCCTGATTCCCCCACCTGTCCCTTATTACCCTGTTTGATGGTATTATGCTAAGATAAGTGCATAATTTATATGCTAGGTGGAAAGTGTATTTCATTCCAGACCAGAGAATATGTTTTAGTGACTATTTCCTTTTTAGTTTTTTAAAAATATATTATGTAGTGAACAATATTACCACATTTTTCATAGCTTGATTAGCTTCGTTTTGTGTCTGTCTGTCTGTCTGTCATCAAAAATTCAGACCTTAATTTAGAGCTCTTCTGAACATCCTAGAAACTTTAAATTTGGCATGCATGCTTATGCTGCCTAACAATTCAAGATATGATCATCAGAAGTAATAATTGAAAAAAAAATTTTAGAAGAAATTTAAAGAAAAAAAAAATGAATAAAAAAATAAACAAAACAACTAAAAATTCATGGTTTAGAATTGAGCTTTTTTCTCGAACATCCACACTTGCAAACCCTGGAAATTGATTTGAATAGCTAAAATTGCTAACTAAAAACTAGAAAATGAATAAATATAAAACCATTTTAAAAACCACATTTTTCTGGTTTTTACAAAACTAAAAATAATGGAATAAAACAAATAAAAATACTTTTAAAATCCACGTTTTCTTAATGGACAAAAAAGAAAAACATTTACTCATGCATAACAGTTAAGTTATGTAATGTTATGTATGAGTAAATGTTTTTCTTTTTTGTCCGTTGAGAAAATGTGGATTTTACAAGTTTTTTTATTTGTTTTATTTTTTTGTTTGCATTGGTAAATTAAAATTCAGTTTGCCAAAGGACATTTTTCATTTGTTGACATTTCAAAAGTAGTATCAAGATTCAATATCATGTTCAGAGATGCATTGATTAATAAAATATCTATCAACATAAATGGTATAAGTACTACGTAAATAATGTAATTAGGATACTACTCAAATTTAAAAAAAATGAGATTTAGATAGAACTGCATCTTTCAACTTGATAAAGAATTTCAACATATTTAATTTTATCTGAAACTCTTTAGCAAATTAAAAATGTCTTTCCATGACCTGATTTTTGTTTTACCAGTGCAAATGAAAAATATTATTCAATGTATGGAAAAAAACTAAAAGAAAAATTTTTAATAGAAGATTTCCGGTCTCCATGAAATTAACATGAATTTAAACTTGAACTTGAAGAAACAAATTCTGCCATCATATACTAATATCTGCTAAGTGTCAACTAGAGCTTTCCTGCCATTTTTGGAGCTGACAATTTTCTGCTAGGGAATTGTCTCCATTCTCCTATCTTATCATAAAGAACAGTTTATTATTGAGCTGCAACATTGAACATCATTATACAGTTGTCAAATTACATCATTTTCCAATTTGCAGCCACAAGATTTGAAATTAGAAATTTGGACAGAAGCCACAAATAAATTTTAATACAAAAATGCCTATGCTTCATGCTTGCAGGCAATATTTTATCTGTAAAAAATTGCTCATGAAATGAATTTTTTTACTTTGTATTTGACTGACAAAATTCTGCCACATATTCCAGATTAGGCCAGATTTTAGTATTGAGTAAAAAAATTCAATCTTGGTTGCAGCTTGGTCTTTAGAAAAAAAAAACAATAACCATGCCATTTGTAAGATTGAATCAGGTCACATGTGTGTTTAACCCTTTCATGGGTAAGTTACCATGTATGATCACTTGAAATCGCGTCACAAAAAGCCTCACCACGGCTTCCTGTTTGTTTTTGAGGCATCTTTATAATGCCTCAGTCAATCACTAATTATCTGACCATCGTTCTATCTATAGCATCACCAACTGCAAAGTCCACAAATTGAAATATGAGCATTTAAATGAAGGTTTTGACTCGGACAATGGAATTGACGCTCTTTCCGCATTTTCTTCAAAATTTGGAAGTATCAATGTATATATTTATTTTGGCAACTTGATTAAATTTAATTAAATTAAATTTTTATGTTTCTAATTTTTCATTTGCATAAACTGAATTTTAATTATAAAGATAAATTTTGTGTACTGATCGCATTTATTGAATTCTTCAAGTGCGATTTAAACCTTCAATAGGCAAAATTTGAAAAAATACATACAAAAAAATATATTATATAATACTTCTTACTTTCTTGAAATGGTTTCTGAAATTTTAATTTCTGGATATTTCAATGCTTGCCCGCTAAAGGGTTAATTTTTAATTTGGCTGAAAACTATTGATATGACAATGGATTAATAATGAATTATTACCTACCTTATAATTTAGCAAAATAATAAAATGTTCTATTACACATTGTTCAAGGTGGTGGCAGTGGTATTGGGAAAGAAGTTTGTAAACTTTTGGCTGAAAGAGGAGCATACATTGCTGCCACTGACATCAACAAGAATGCCATCCAGGACACCATTTCAAATCTTCAGGGTAATTATTTTACTGCTAACAATATATTTTTAAAGTTCTTTAGACTTAAGGGCAAAGTAGTTCTCATTTCACAAATTTAACTGTAATTGCATATTCTCATTGTTTGTTTTTTGACCACTATTTAGTTCAATTTTTGTAGGTAAGGATGTTGATTTATAATTCATATGTTTATGTTGTAAATTATTTTCAGGCAATATTATTTAGTATTTGGATATGCTTGAGCTCATCAGTAATGATATGAAGCAGCAGTCCTTGTGTTGATAGCCTATTTGCATTTTTGAATCTCATATCTCACTATATTATCGGGGTGTTAATTCTGATCTTCCATAAATTGTTCTCTCATGTTCCAAATGTGGTTATTGGTGAAGAAACACATTCCTCATTTTCAACATATGTCAGAATTTTGTTTTTTGCAGCAAATACAGTTTAAGAAAATAAATAAAGGAAAAATAAATATTATTGTCAATTATACATGATCCATGTATCTAAAATTAGTATTTTTTGTTCATTTTGCAGGCAACAGTGGGAAAGCTTCCCACTTAGCCATGGAGTGTGATGTTAGCAGTGGTGACAGTGTACGCTCTTGCTTCAGTGAAGCTACAAAACATTTCAAGCAGCCACCAACACTTCTGGCTAACTGTGCTGGCATCACCATGGACACTTACCTTGCGAAGATGACTGAAGAACAGTTTGATAAAGTCATTCAAGTCAACTTGAAAGTATGCTTTGATCTAAAATTTAACCAATTAATGATTTATTTTAGTTACTATTGCCCTGGATTGTGATATTTGTGTGAATAATTGTTGCTCCATTAGCAATTTATTTGATGTTGAGTACCACTCTAATTTGCATAACTTTGGAAGCTAAAATTCTCAAGGTACTATTATCACAGATACTTCTTTTCTTTACATTTTGAATATTCCTTTTTATTGTTCTTGATCATGTTTCATATTTATCCTAAATTTGAAGTTAATTTGAAATATTTGCACTAATTATGAATTCTATTCTGTTTGAAGGGCACATTCTTGACGAACCAAGCATTTGCTCACTGCCTGGCAGCATCTGCAAAACAGGGCGGAGATGCCGCACCCGGTGCAATTGTGAACGTTAGTTCTATCTCAGCCCACAGAGGAAACATGGGACAAACCAACTACTCTGCCAGCAAGGCTGGAGTTGAAGGCTTCACCAGATCAGCAGCAAAGGAGCTTGCCAAGTGAATTCCTCTTCATTTTATTAATGCAGCTAATTTGTATCCCAATTTTATGCCAAAATGAAGTTGTAATTTGAATTCAAAAGATTGTATGGAAATTTATACGTTCTAATAATAAATGTCTGAGCAATTATTTTCAGCTACAATGTATAATATCAATTATGCTTCAAATTTTAATACATATTACAGAAGCATTATAGTGTTGTCCTTGAAAAGTTTCTGTGTTTGCTGTCTAATATATCAGTATGAATGCTTAATAGCTTTTGATTTTCAGTGGTGGTTATCATTTCTCTTATTCATGAAGTATTCCCACTCAGGTTTGGCATTCGTGTGAATTGTGTATACCCTGGCCTCATTGAAACTCCCATGACTGACACCGTACCAGAACACCTCAAGGAGATGGTTAAATATGCAATAGCATTGAAGCGTGCCGGACAGCCTCAAGGTGAGAAAAAATACTCCTACACCTTGAATTTCCTGAATTTTGTAAAAATTCCCTTGGTGATCTCAACTATTTTTGGTTTTATGGCGCTGTTGGTAGTTCTTTGTTTTCTAACTTCATCCAGAAAAACCAAGTGAAGTGAATTAGTGTGCATGTAATAGACTTGAACGTAGATGCTGTTTGCTTGTAAACGTATTTTGAAATCTGTGAAATTAAGATTAGAAGTAATAGTAATAGCGAGACTAATAGTTATATTCTGTAGAACTAATATTTCCAGCTATCTATTTCATCCAGTGATTAAAATGCATGAAAGCGTGTGTTATTTCATGGCTTCACTTAGATCTCCTTGCTGTAATTATCTTAATTTAGTAATTACGTTTTACGGTGAAATTTTAATACTTTAACTTGCACTGATAAAGTTGCATGGTATTGCAGAGGTTGCTGAGGTCATTGCCTTCCTGCTCTCTGACGCGGCCAGTTACGTGACTGGTGCATGTGTCGAAGTTACCGGAGGGCTATAATTCACTGATGATTTATAGCCCCATCTTCATCTTCTACATTCAATACTGAGTCATTTATACATTTAATTATTCAAAAAGAAACCAGCGTGTTTTAGCCAAGTAACTACTACTCAAACCTGACAAGTGTGTCCAGCTAGTGTCACCGTCTACGTAGTATATTAGGTGCCTTACTTCTACGATGCTCACGAAGCTCCGTTTCAAAGTTCTCTATCATGTGATGGCGCAATATTTCAAATATTCTCATTAGTTTTATATTTCAGCCTTGTGCCAACTGTGAATTTGAATGACATTAGTTAGAAAGAAAAGTTAAACTCTTTTTAGTTCGGGTTGTATGGAGCGTTGAAAGTTGCTCGAAAGCTTTACTCGAGTTTTCAATTGCTTAGGCACTGCACAAAAAGAATGTTCAATGTTGATAGATTGTGGATGTATGGGTTGTTAATAAATCTTGTTGCTGGAACCTTTGTGCCTCTTTATTAGATCTTGCATTGGTTCAACTTCCGAAAATTTCTTAAACTACTTATTTGTTGGGAATATTTACCAATCTGCCAAGTAATTCCATTCTATGGTCTGGTAGAAAATCAATGTAAGGTACAATTTTTTCTGCTGATGACTTTTTCATGAATCGCCATACCTTTATTTAATATTATGAGATTTTGTTTTAATAATAATCTGTTCGATGTTGGAGAGATATTTATTTGTAAGTGGGATCTTTATATTGTTTCTTTGGACTAACCTCTATATTTCAGCAAATTTTATAGACGAAGCATTGAACTTTTTAACCTGGTGTGGCTGCGTTACTGCATAACCTAGTTGAGAGTGACCTTCAGCCGCATAGTGTAGTTCAATGATCTGCTCATGGCGAATAAATAATTGACTTGAATATTACATTTTTCTACCAATTAAAAGTATTTTCGTTGTCGAGCTTATTTCTATCCATTTTTTTTATCTTTGCAGACACAAATATTAAATTCTTGGAACGATAGAAATTGTACGCAATCATTATCAATCACGTACAAGGATTAGAGTTGACAAGTCCAGTCTTTCTTCTTCCTTTCTACGTTGGTTTAATGCGAGATAATAGTAAACTAATGTATATATTACAGACAATATTAAAACTTTGTATTTAATATTGTTCTGTTATTATTGTGTGCATGTCTCGTTTAACGGGTGCTTTTTTTAACAGGTTGGAGTTCATTTTCAGAGATTATACATGAATCTGTCAATATATTCGTTATTGAGTATTAATTGAAACGGTCTTCATATTATCGAACTTGGTACTTCTGTTGCGCGAGATGACTCCACTAAATCCTTCAATAGCATTTCTAGGAATTTAAATTATTTCAATTACATTCTAAAATCTTAGAACTCTGGCTATTTCCAGTAACTCTTGATCAGAACTGCGCATTTTTAAATGTGATTTAAACGGTACTTTCAAATGTCTGGCTATATTTCTTAAACAAATGACAATGTCCCCTTAAGCTCGTATTTTGGCCTTAGCATGCTTTCTTAGTGAGATCATCAGTAGTCCTAACCCTAAACTCTTCTGGCATTGAGGGGTCGAAAAGTAAGCCAGGAGTTCTTGGTATGTCGTCAATCGGAGATTCCGCCATGAGCGCTCGAGTGACGTCATGCTTGCCGTCGATTTTATCCTCTGGTTCGACGGTCTCTACGTCAGGTAGGCAGATGCCACATTTCTGTAGCGCTTGCCAAATCAGGAATATCATCAGAAGAGGAGGGCCCGTCTGGAAAAGCTGAGCCAGTACTGGAACTGCTGCCAGGTCGCTGTAATCGAAAGCGAGTGCATTTTTAAATAGATATAGATCGAATAAAATAGATTAATTGTTTCTGATTCGTTTCATAGATTAATCGAAGTATTTTGAACTTGTTTAAAGACTTGAAACACTGTTAAAGCCTCAACAACAGTGACAGATAGAAATTTTATGTTAGCGAATTTGTTATTTTGCCTAATTATAATCAAATGTATTACCATGGTACCTTCTGATTATATGAAAAAAATTCTGCCGAAGTCGTCACCTACCTGTCGGGTGTTCCCAATGAAAGCTTTAAAAGGAGATATGCAATGGCTGCGTTCTGGAACGCAGTTTCTATGGAGATAGCGATGATCTGTGGGAAAACGGTGCATTGTAATCGATAGGATTCGTAAGAACGTTGATTTCTGTTAGTGATTACCTCACAATTATTTGAATTTATTTCCACGAAACCTATGTTTCCTATCCTAGGTAACGAGGTTATTTTATTTCGCGTAGAAATGAAAATAAGAGTTCCATGCACCTGTTTTTTCTTGAGACAAAAGAGGGTTGACATCAGAGCTCCTGCAGTGTATCCACCTGCAGCCACCATAAGACCGGCTAACGCGACGTTCCCAGTAATCAGAGCGAATCCTTTGTAGTTGTTGTACATCCCAAACTGCGCATAAAAGGCAAATCATGGTCAACACAAGGCAAAATCATGGTTGAACTAGTCCAATCATGGTTGAACTAGTCCAACCATGGTTGAACTAGTCCAACCACGTGGACCACCAGGACTAATATTTTCTACAATTTCATGATGTTTATTCAAGTTATGGTTGTGATTTTTGCGCGAATTTATTATTGCTCATGTTCGTTAGATGTATTAATAATATAATCATTTATTAGATCGGCACATTTTCGGAAATATTTTCATAATTTCCACAGATGATCAGTATTGCCCGTGGCAGCGAGAAAGCAACGGTTGGCTGCTGTGGCCGAGAGAATTACGAAGCCTTAATAACTTTTGTTCGAATTATTGTAATTGATTCGCTCTACCATTTAGTCGTCAAGACAATAGGAATTTGATTGATTCAGTTAGGAATGGACGTTTTAAAACGGTTTTCAAAACCGTTTGGGTCAGGAAACATGACCTACTCTAGTACTACTCACTCACCGATATGAAGTAAAGAATCATGCAGAATGTCATCGGTTTGATGATCTTTCCAGCAAAAACCGCCCAGTTATACTTCTTGTACCTGAAATTTTGGAATTTGAAATTAACATACACTAAGACTACGCCTAAAGATCTAGGTATATGAAGTTGATTTGGTAAAACGTTTTAACAGCTAAAAAGTTTTTCTACGCAGTTTTATCTAAATTAGGATGAAAATTAATTAAAATTAGACCAAGCTCTGCCGTAGTATCTAACTCGACAGAAAAATTGAAGGTTTCATCATGAAAGTATTATACAATTTGATCGCAAAAAAATTGTTATGCCGTCATTTATCTCTTGCCTACAAAGGATATTTTCTTGTGGGCATAGAACTTCAGCGAATCATTCCTTATTTCAACTGCTCTTTTATACGTCAGTATCAAGTATGTAGAATTTGTGCCTAGTTCCTCACTTGATGAGGAGGCCGATGAAGAGCGGCACGGAGAAGCCTATGAGGGAGGTGATGAGATTCATGTACGGTATGGTGATGGAGCTTCCTTCCCCTAACAGTTTGCTACCAAGCAGATACATCCAAGTTGGCATCATAGCTGCAGAAAAGTAGGAAAAACTCATTAATGTTTTTGATTTAGTCCCTAGGCTTTGAACAGTCTTCCTTTCATGAGTAATTAGAGCTAAAATCTATATATTCTCTTCTCCGTCACTAAAGTATTTACGGTGGTAAGCCAATCTGCACATTTGGTATCATTCTATATACATAATCATGTAATTTTAAACGCCTCTATGTGTAACTTCACCTGTATTTTCTATAGGAAAAATTTAAAATTCTGTATTTAACGCGTATATTCCCATAAAATTTGCAGTTACCATCTCACTAAAGCATCTAATTTAACGGAGCGAGTCACACTGAAATTCATTCTTTTGGCATTATACTAGGGTGCAGATTAGGGAGTACCCATGGCAATAATTGTAGAGCAAAATGTCATGGTGATGGATAAGTTAATATCTCCGTTGTAGAGCAGCGTCCAAAAGTTGCTGTTTTGGCCGCCAGGGGAGCATCCAAGAGTGAAGAGTCCCAGTCGCTGCAGTGGATCGTCGAGCAGCAGCCAACCAACTCCGAACGAGAACTGTATCGTTAAAATAGGGTACGTATATAAAGGTTCATATATGAGATAATCAAAATTAAATCATATAATGGGTCGGATAGAAAATAATAATTTAATAAATATTTAAGTGTACATAACCTTGTTCGGATGTAACAACGTATAGGAAGCTAATTGCTGTCTGTAGACGAATTACGCAAACAATGCCTACCTACACCATTTTTTCGAACTGTGATTTAATTAACGCATACAGTTGATTTCTCCTATCCAACTCATAAACAGTACATATTCATTTACGCATAATTACGTAAGCGCTAATTTTGTCGTTCACTTTTTTCTTGCAATTTTGGTTACGTGAAAGGAATTTACCGAGGAAATGCTCACCTTTTACCTCGTAAAACAATTTCATTTGATGTTAATTTCGGTTGTTGAATTTATTTTTTTACCTTTTCCTCTTCCCATACTTTTTTAACTACATGTAGTGATTGGCTGGTTGCAGAATTAAAATTAAAGTCAATCGTCGCTCAACTGCCTGAGTTCAATTTAGTCGCTCTATGTTCCTCCTTTGCACGCACTCTATCCTAAGTTATTTAACAATTGCGATGCATCGGCGTGATCAAAAGTTTTACCGATAACATGTCGCTGTATATTTGAAAATGTGAAATATTGTATGAAACCTGCAGATTATGACGTACTAAAGGCATGCAGATGAACTGGCAAAATATGCCACACAGAGGTCCCACTGGCCTCTTGATGACAGCTAAGATGATCTGCAAGTCGAGCTGGCTGCCCATGAGCACCGTGTTGAACAGAGAGAAGCTCACAGCGCCGATCATGAATGCCGTGTCGGCGATTTTGCTGCTCTCACGTCGATCCACGATTATCTGGTGAGTAAGAACGGCAAAATTATTCATTAACTGCTGTATTTTTTCTGTTTGATTCCGTTTGATTCTCAGAGAACGATATGGTAAATTTTCTTTCGCTTCCTTGTGAAATTTCTCTTCTATTTGCTTACCCATGTTCTATCACTTATACCCTAAATCTTTCCCCTGAAAAATTCTTTGGGGTGAAAATTCCCCCATCAATTTTAATGTGTCGCACAATGTTCGATAATTTTTGTAATATACGTTAATTTCCGTCGTACAACATTAGGATCCGCTTACTAAAGTATATCCTTATATAAATAATAATTGAATTTTCTGCTAATTAAAGTTTTCTTCGTTCTCACGATTGTGTCGTTGCGAAGTAACTTTTTCTCGCCCATCCAAATAGAGTTGTTGACGCCATGATTTACGTCCGATGGCCGTGCCTGTTGGTGTAAACTCAAAGCTTTTAGATATCAGTTAAATACTCTTTTGGCGAATATTGTTCAGTTTCAAAGGTATAATACTGAGAGACTCGTCTAAAGGTTAATTAACGCTTCCTCATGAAAGTTAATATTGAATTTTTAAAGACTTATTGCGTATCTTTTTTATCGCTTAGAATTTGAGCCTTGCATAAATCTACATGACGTACTCAATTTTAACAACTCAAGAATTAAGAATAATTTAACAAGCCGTTGGGCTAAACGAAACATCCGACAACACAAGAGACAAAATATTTATTATTGATACTAATTTTAGTAAAGATAATAATTTTTATACTGAACAATATTAATTATATCAATATTATTTATAAAAAAACGAAGAAGTCCCTTTTAAGACGAAAATTTGTACAAGGAACTCGTATCCTAACTTTTATAACTATAAGTTATAGGAGTTTTGTTGACTAACTGCTAGTGCGCCGTAGAAAGTCAACGAAAAGTAGCCCCAGTAGTAGGAGATGATGGTGAAGGACTGGTTGGCTTTATTCTGAATATCTTCCGGCGAGAACACCAGCGTCGAATTTGCCTGTTGAATATGAGTCGGAAATAAAATCGAATTTGTTCCGAGTTACATGTGATATTTTTGGTTCCATCCGGCTTGGATTTTTTATTGTAATTTTACTCGTTAATAAAATTTTTTAAATTAAAATCATATAATACTATCATCGAATTTCAATTCGGTTACATTTCGTGCAAAATTTCTGTACAAAATTACCATATATCAGTCACTTGATCGGTCGCAAAACTCACAAAAATGACATGCCAGTAGACTTCAGTGTAAGGATGGACCACAACACTGAGTTGTTCCTCTACGATCCTGGAGACCATAGACGCATCGTCGGGGTCAGAAGAGTTGTAGCAGAATGAGAGCGTCAGTTGGGAGTACGTTGAATCGGGGATACGGTATTCTGGCCCTTCCCAAACCTATGCGAACAATAAGAAATAAGATCACTTTATTGCTTATATCGCAAGTTTATCAAGAATTTAAAAGCAAAGAAAACAGCCAAGAAATTCACCATTTATATTAAATTAAATTAAAAATTGACCATTCGGCTATATGCACGAACAATAATTCATTTTTTTAGCTCCGTTCCGCAATTCAGGCGTTTATCTGCATGTCAAAACGTTTAACCTTAATTCGTGTATTAATAAACATAATTGCTATAGAACATCATGCTGGCTTTACTCATTATTGTAACTCACGCTGATTTTGGAACTAAAATTAATAAAAACGTGCTTAAATCGTAATAAAACTGAATTAAATATTCAGAAATATTTATTTGAGAAATCGCATAAATAAATATTCAGATAAATGATAATGTCAAATGAAGATGACTGTCCTTACCTCTAAATAGTAGCTTTGGACACTGCAGGCCGCTAGCAGCAGTGTGAAAAAAATTAATTCAAACCTACATTTATGCGACATCTTGAGTATTTTGTGGGTTTAAACCCTAAGTCATAAAAAAAGTATAAATGCTAAGAGACTAGGATATATCTTATTATTTCGACCAATAACAATTAATATCTGCAGAAGCATCAAATTTTACACAAGTTTCGTTCTTTTCATAAACCTGTGCCTGGGCAACGTTTTATATAGACGTGACGTCGAACTTTTCTTGACATTTACTGACCAAAAATATTCGTTCATTTGTACTTGATTTTGTTGCAAAATTGTTAATTTAATTGCTTGATTGAACTATCGTTTCTTTCACTATTGCTTATCAATCCACTTCAATTCATTGCGAGCACTTTTAAAGTGCTCTTAAATCATAAACTTCGATAAAAGTAAAATTCAGTGATTTGACATTTTTTGCCAATAACGTTACTCTCAATATCATTTGAAATATTAAGTTGAAGTAAAACGCTTGGGAAGGTTCATATGAAGTTAGGTTTAAAGATCAGCTTCTTGAGAACGAAGTTACGGCCCCATCTGACTTGCTGAGGAAACTTTTTTCATTCTGGTTATTTGCTGTTACAAATATTTAAAAAGGACTGGAGTCAAAATAACATGTCAACCGATGAAGTATATGTTTTTGGTAACAATTGCGACAAAATCAGCCTACTTCTAATAGTACTAATTTCAAATAATAATGACGACCCCTTGTTTCAAAATTGCGTCTTCGGCTATATCAATTGACTAGGTTTTTTTCATCAAAGATACGTTTTCGGATGATTGAGTTCTATATTTTCTCATTTTGTTTTGTCACACAAACTTGATTGAACATTTTATGGCAAGATACCTCTGTATAAGGTGTTACTCAGTTCTTTTGTACATTGAGATTATATATACTCTGATAAAGATTTATCATAGAAGGTAATAGTAGTCCAACTTTTAATGACTGTGCCAAAACGCTTAACCCTTCAATGTTAGAAATCTCGGGCAAGACCCTGAATCGCGTGGTCTTGTTACCAAGAAAAACAATACACGTTAGATACGTAATCATTGTTCTTGTATTATATTTATACCGGAAATATTCTTAGAATTCCCTGAGGTGTGAATGACATTATTATTTCTATCTAATTGGCTGGAGCCACGTTCAGTTATTAGCCAATACTTATGAATGTTCTATCAATAGCGCCCAAGAGCACTGCAGCGCCAGAACTCAGCTGCTCAGTCAGTGGCTGGGTACTACTAACAATCTCCAGCTCGAAGGGGTAACTACTAACGTAGCGACAATCGGTCTTTAGGGCCATATCGCGGCTCTTTAGAATATCTTATCGAACCACTGATTACATCTTGATTTTTTTGAGTGGAAATCTCGTTGCAAGAATTTTAATATCTTTTGTTAAGATCTTTAAGAATTTTAAGCACGATTTCTGTAAAATTTGTTGATGAAACGTTTCGGAAAACGTATTTTTTTTAACTGAACCGATCTCTGACAAATAATTTTGAGTTGCTTTTTTATTACTTAATTATATAACTCTCATTTCTGCCCAAAACTCCGCCATAAAATTAATTAATTCAGGAATCCTAAAATAAATAAATATACCGATATACTGTAAAAGTTAAACACAACAGTTTTTTATTATTGATAATAGTTAAAAATAACGTGAGGTTTTTCAATGCTTGATTTTGATGATTTGCTTGTTTTATAGCATCTTTCCGTTTTCAATAACTTAGACAGCAATGCATTATTTGCGTTTCTGCGTTTCTTGACCGAAATTACGGAATGTGCATGTAAGCCCCCGGCAGCCATGCATTCCGTTTGATTTGACACCTGCCCCTTTCCTGCGTTCTAGGCCTGCTCGGCCTTCGGTGTTTGTTTTGACCCATGCCCCCTTCCTTCGTGCGTTAGTTATGCCCAGTCTTTTGCATTCAGTGGTTTGATTATACACACACAGTTCCCCACTCTCTTATTCCCTCCTCGCATCGACGTGCAATTGTTATAGCTGATTCATGTTGTTTTTAGTATATTATAAACTACGCAACCAATTATTACGTTTAATTACCAACCATGCAGTGAGCACAAACGAATGTCTAATTAATATAACTCCGGGGTTACGGAATTTTCGCCGTCTCTGCATTGGACCATCTGTCACATTGACATAGCCTTCGTCCTGTAATCGCTCTGCTCTCAAGAGCTTCTCGGAGATAATTATGTTATCTGCATGTAAATAAATAGAGAGACCACATAGGTAGGTAATGTGCTTACTGAAATTCTTATAAAACTGTCTGTCGAAAAAGGCAAGAATGGTTTTTATATTATGTCGTTAAAATCCGGGCAAAACTGCAAATGAATTTATTAATTCAATTTTATTTGACTCGTGACGCGTATGGGGCTAGCAGTGCTTCTGTCAGAAAAATGATTGCGATTTGCCTTTGATGCTTCGATGTTCGTCTTCGAGGTAATTGTTAGAAACCCCTTTTTTATGTGATACTATATGAGGTATCAGCGACTGGCTCACCTACATACTTTTGTGCCTTCGCCATATCGATGACGAATATGAAATGAGTGTGAATTTTTCGATAGTAAAATCACTCATAAAGTGAGCCTTTTTGTAATTACGTCTCGGATGTCGCCAGTCACCGGGAGAAGGTCAGCAGATAAAATAATAATTCGATCTAATCACTCAAGTTTGGTATGCGCGCTGCATCTGCTTTTCCTACAGATATCACGACTGTCATCATCACATTCTCACTCCTTCGGCACATGACGTTCTGTTTCTAACTCATCAATATTTTTATTAGGCAATTAATTATTACACTGAAAATCTCTATTTTGATTCGTACCAAAATGTTACTGTGTGACGTACGTGTATTCACTTATTAGTCTTAAGAAATTTAGGCGTTATCCAATAACAAGCTTGGAAAAATGCACACTCGCATGCATCATCTAGCTAATACGAACTCGATTGATAAATTTTTCGCCTATTGTGGGTAATTAACGACAGGTTTATGATGGCCAGGCAAGGTTTCTTGAATTCATTAAACACCTTGAATAATTATCTTCAAGTATGCTGTGGGAAAGAATTGTGCAGTGGGACTTAATTACTTTATAGTCATTACCCTTTGATTAAATTTTATTCCCTGCATTTTGTTATGGATGTTTTTTGAGCATAGAAAACACGAGTTTCACTGCGCATGCATTTATCACCTCGTAATTTCGCTCGACACTACTTGCTCACACCGAGTTGCAGTCCCTCAATGTTGATCTCAACTCGATTCTTCCTGTATTTTAATTCACAGAATAAAGAGCCAATCAGCAGCTGCATCCGTTGATACTTGAACTTTGTGCTCGACAATTACAAATAAACTCGTGAACCCCTTATATTGTAACGCCCGTCTCCACTCAAGGCGCTGTGTGTAATCATTCAACGATGCTTGCAAGTGATACGATAATGTTAACGTCAGACTTTAACTTAATACAGCATTTAGTCAATAAACCAGTTATTCATACTGAGTGATTGCTCATCTTCTTAGATTTCATCCAAAATGTTGTAAAATAAGGTTATAATGCTTTTAATTTAATCTGAACGATTTAAAATGTGTGCGATCAAATTATCTTATTGATACACGGTTTAAATTTATTGTTATCGTTATCAGAGGTATAAGTACTAAGACTTCAGCTATTTTACCAAGCATTCTTCTGCTAAATAGGATAAAATTCCGTTACTAAAAATTACCTGCTTGCTAATAGTGGAAATTTTTCGTACTGTTTGCAAAATGTACATGAAACTTTTTCTGTAGAAATTTTTAAGTTGTTTCTTACAGTAGTAAAAATTAGTGGTATATGATAAATAGTTTTCAAATAAACCGCGGATCAGTCATATTCCTCTACCACATTGTCGTTGATGCACAATATACGTTCAAGTCTCTAAACGCCACTGGGCATGAACGAGGGACGACTTGTTAATTATTTGAATAATATTAAGTCAAGAGTAACGTCAGAAATTGTTTTGTTGTGAAAGATTTTAAATTGCATTACTGTCTCATTTCCATCTCACGACACACTTTCAGGTTCCACGGAGCTTTGAGAGCACGGAGGGAAATGATGCTGTGTTGTATAGTTATCCTGCTTGTTGCATTCAGAGCACTAATCCCTTTTCAAATGTCCTTCTTGGAAATACAAATTCTCCCTAATTTTTTCATTTCACCATTTGGTTCCATTTCCCGTAAATTATTGTTAGGGGACGCAGTACAATAGTGATTTATAACAGTTAGGTATTCTGCGTTTTGGGTTGAAGTCACCTCGGACGTGAACTTGTTTAGATAAGCTCTGCACTTGTTCATTGCTGTGATCCACCACGGAGGTACGCCTTACTTAATCATTTGGTCTGTTTTTTTTTTTTGTGATAATTTTCTGCTTCAATTCAGTGGTGGTATTTAGGGGGTTCATAATTACGATTATCTGTCTATTATTTATCTTGTTGGCATAATATTCTGCTCTGGTAGTTCAATTATTGCTAGTTCTAAAATCTAAATTCTTGTTTATTGTTAATTTCAGAAAGGCTCCGAATCTTGAGTCCAAGGTAAGAACTATAAAAAAGGGTAGACAAGGTTATATCCTTGCCTTTATTTTTATTTGTCGTGTTCATTATAGTTTTTACTTATCATTTTTATTCATCATTTGTTTACAACTATACCCACGACATAATTATTTATTGAATTCACTTTCCACGGATTTTAAATTCGTGAACATACGAGTGTTATTTTTAGGGGCCATCATCAACGTGACTTGACGTAGAGCAGTGGTTCCCAAACTTTTTCAGGCTGGCGCCCCCTTTGGCTCCCTAGTGAATTTCTAGCGCCCCCCACAGACCCATATAAAATCATGCGCCTATTACTATTAAATTTAGTTCAGTGCAATTTTAAAAGATAAAGGTTAAACACAAATGTGTATTTCACAAATAGGACTCTTTTAGTGAACCAATGTGTTTTTCAGCTGTTTTAACCGTTTCAGCACTTGGACGTCTCGGGCAAATTTACGGCCGGACTCGTGGCCGGTCTCACGACCAATCTCCAAATTCAGTTATCAAAGAATATTACCCAAACTAATGAACGCAGCTCAATAAAACTTGGAACATGTATTCATCAGAACTTAACGGTGACGTTTAGCTTGCGAAAATTTTTTAAATATCACCTTCATTCGTGAGTTATATTGCGATACAGGCCGAAATTCGCAGTGATAAAAGAATTTCTCCCAAACTACCGAACAGATTTGAACGAAATTTTGAATTTACATTCCTAACTACCAAATGGTGTTTTTTAGATTAAAAAAAAAATTATTTTACCGTCGTTTGCGAGATTTTTTTTCATTTTACCGTCATTCATGATTTCACACTTCCTTATTCGCTTTCGTTTGCAAGTTATACAGATATAGGAGAAACGATCGGCTTTTCTACCGGCTGGTTTAACCAAGAGCCGTTTACGTATAGCCGTATAACTCACAAACGAAGGCAAAACAAAAAAATTGTTACGAGCTAAACATCACTGATGCTGAGATTAGGTATATTAAAATACTCAATTTCGTTCAAATCTGTTCAGTAGTTTGCAAGAAATTTCTTGATTGCTGCGAATTTAAGCACGTATTGCTATTTAAATCACGAATGAAACTCGCGAATGAAGGCACAATCGAAAAAATTTTCACGAGCTAAACATCACCGTTTGGTAGTTAGGACTGTAAATTCAAAATTTCGTCCGAATCTGTTCAGTAATTTGGAAGAAATTCCTTGATCACTGTGAATTCGGCCCGTACGTATTGCCATATAAGTATAGCAAAAACAATTGAAGGTAAAATTCAAAAAATTTTCACGAGCTTTACATTACCGTTAGGTCCTAATGAATACGTGTACCAAGTTTCATCCAGTTAAGTTTATTAGTTTGAGAGGTATTCCTTGATCATTGAATTTGGAAATAGACCGTGAGACCGGCCGCGAGTCCGGCCGTTAATTTGTCGTAGACGTAAACCCAGGAGAGGTTAAAAAAATATAACTCAGTACTCACATCAGTGAGTGACAGAGAGCGCATTTTCTCGTCGACGAAAACGTGAAATCACGGACTGACAGACAGGCGGACAGACGGACGGACATGGCGAGCACAATAGTGCATTTTTTTCATAAATGAGTAAATGCGCCAAAAACAGATCTGGGTGAAAAAAACCATCGCTGGGAGTCATGTGCTGCACATGTTGTGTACAAATCGTCAAACAAACATTCGAAATTCTGACTTCGACTTCCGACTGCCGCCCCCCTATCGCCCCCCAAACGCCCTCTTCTTCTTTATCGCCCCCCAAAATCTTTCCATCGCCCCTAGGGGGGCGATATCGCCCACTTTGGGAACCACTGACGTAGAGGAAGGCCGCGATTGTTCTCGACAGATATTGCTAAAAGTATTCTTCTCATTTTACTTTCTCGTGTAAACGCAACTTGAGATAATCCGTATCCATCTCCTTTAAAATGGCCTGAAATAACCTGTTGAGTGTTAATGAATACTTGATTAAGTTACGTTTAATTCTGCTAGTCTACCATTCCGCCTCGCAGAGTCGTCCGACGTATCTTCGATAATTTTAGTAAGCCCTTTCAATACCTACTGTGCCAGAACTGTAAAGTGAAAGAATTACACAATAAGTTTGACGAGTTGAAATTAATAAGAAATACCAAAACTTTTGCGCCGATAGTGGAGCTATGGAATGGTCTGAAAATTTTCAATTGCATGGACGAGAGGATAAATAAAGCACTAAATTCAAAATATAATTCAACAGCTGTTATATGTGTACAATTTTTTGTAATCTTGTTGAGCCTAACCATTAATGTGTAAGATAGCATCATTTGTTATTCACTGAGTGTTTATCATTTATAGTTGTAATCACTTCAGCGTTAAAAATCAAATGGTAGCGGTACAACGAAAGAATAATGCAGCTTACATAATCCTTATAAAATTTAGCGACTCAATCATCTACTGCAATATTCATAGGACTCCAGTAGCACACACTGCAGGTAAAGTGATACTAAATCCGGCGACTGCAGTAATTAATTCAATGTAATCGTTCTAAATAGTTAATCGATAATCGGAAGTAGAAAAGTGATAAATTTATCGAGTTTTCGGCAGAACTTGAAGTGCAATAACTAGAATACATGACGAGCATTCTAACTTATTAGTTCACTATTTACGTTACGTTAAGTTGGCCTTCAAACTTAGAGATGATAGAATCAACGATGTAGATATCGGTAACTTTATCGGTAACATTTATTTACTATATTTAATCAACAATAAAAAACAGCTACGTTTTGATGAAAGTAAACGGAGAATCTATAGTAAAACCATCCTATTCCTTGGAGATATTATGGGCTTGTAAAAATACTGAAACGAATCATAAAACGAAATATATAGCCTTACTGGTATTGATGACTTCTTTCCTCATTAAAAATTAATACATGTTGCTGGTCACTGTCGCACGCACTATTTGGAAGCACTCCGCCGGTTTGTCTTGCACATTTTAATTAAAAATTTATACACGGATAAAGTACATGATGTTGGTCGCAGTTGAGCGCATTATTCCGATGCATTTCACCGATGTATCTCACACAGATTAATTACAAAAATTTCGACGAACACGTGATTTTGGACTCAATTGAGTGCATTATTCGTAAGCACTTCACCGGTTTGTCTGATACAGGCGGTAATATTCTTGACCAAGCGCCATGAGCTGGTCGTGCGTGCCGCTCTCGACGAGCTTGCCGCTGCTGATGACGGCGATGGTGTCGGCGCCCTGGATGGTAGAGAGGCGGTGGGCGATCACGATGCTCGTTCGTCCAGCCTGAGCTTTGTCTAAAGCTTCTTGCACCACCTGCCCAGAAAATAGTTTTACAATTAATTTTACAAATGCTATAAAAAAAATCAAGGTTATAAAGACGTTTCTGAATTGAAACTGAAAAGAAAACCAAAGTACACACCAATCGATCATCTGTCTATATGAACTAATTTCAGCTCATTGCATTGTGCGATTAGTTCATATATGATTTTATCTGATGAATAGCTTGTTTTGTTTTGGCTGAAAAATTTCCAAGTTTTGTCTTAATGTACTGGCAAGTTTCAGCACTCGATAAGCACTTGAATAGTCCAATAGCAACCACTAGTTATCCTTTGACAAATGAAGACTAAAATATTTACTCAATAACGGAAACTAGATGCATACCACCAGAATTAAAAGAGATCAGCGTTTAAACACAAGAGAACGGAACATTTACAGCTCCATGCAATGCTTCATAAGAAATGTGAAACATTTCCAGTCCCATGTAACGCTTCATAAAAAATGTGAAACATTTCCAGCTCCATGTAACGCTTCATAAAAAATTTGAAACATTTCCAGCCCCATGTAACGCTTCACAAGAAATGCGAAAAATTTCTATCCAAATGTAACGGATCATAAAATACAACTGACAGCCTCGCTCTCGGTGTCGAGCGCGGACGTGGCCTCGTCGAGCATGAGGACGCTTGGGTTCCTGACGAGGGCGCGGGCGATGGCGATTCTCTGCTTCTGGCCGCCGCTCAGCTGCGTGCCTTTGGACCCCACGCGAGTGTTGTATTTCTGCACGTGGGCGGCTTAATTATAGTAGTTTTTGCTCACGCATTCAGTGGAAGACTGAATAATGCGGGAAGCAAATTCACGAGAGCCCAGGGGGCCAAATAATGAAGTTTCAGTGTTTTTATACCCTTTTCAAGCACTTGAATTAGGAAAATAATCAAAGCAAGTGTTTGGGAGCATTGAAATAATAATATTCAACGTATTTTTGTGCAGGTCCAAGAACCGGATCCTACCAGTTAAACTCGTCTATATCGCACCTCAGGAAGAGACTCGATGAAGCTGCTGATGTTGGCTTGCTTGGCGGCTGCGACGATCTCATCAAAGGGAACTTCGCGGCTGTTGTCCCCGTACGCGATGTTCTCTCTGATGCTCAGGTCGAACAGCAACGGCTCCTGAGAACGTCACATCATTTATAAAGTTATTAACACGAGATTATTTTTGTGTATTTCGCCATTCCCGCTCGCTCTCAAAACCACTTTCAATTCCGTAGCATCCGTCAGGCAGCGATAACGAAGGCCACAATAATATTACAATTTTACTTTGAACGCTATGTAATCAAACCCCATGAATTCAATGATTAAATTGTCAAACTTCAATCTAAGGATCTATTACCACCAAAGATGTAACATTTATCCCACGGAACTATGACTCCTCGATGCAGATCTCAACTCAATTTCAATTATAAAACAGTTCAATTTTTCTCTGAATCAATTAGAACAGAAAATATTACAATACTTCGTTATAAAGTAAAGCTTTAGTCGTATAAAGTAAAGTCTTCGTAAATACAACACATCAAGAAATCATAACTGAAATATTTCAATTAGTTCTATCGGCTATACAATTTTTTGCGATTCAATCAAGTGTTATCACCTGCGACACGAGCCCGACACCGCGCCTCACGCTGCCAACATTCAGCGTCTTCAACTCTTCGTTGTTGATCGTCTACGGAATGGAGAGAAATTTTAGGAAACTCACATGACGATAGAACGCTATTCGAGATTCTCTGGTGAAGGTGAAGCTTCAGCAAGAAATTCCAAATTAATATCCGAATGTGCTCCACAGTTATGGAACATCAGATCAGAAAAACGTGATGGGTGAAAATATTGCGAGCCCCTAGTAGCCACGAATGAAATGTACAGACAACGCCAAATTAAACAGCTCTATCAGTTCCAAAATTCGCCAGGCTTTTACCATTGAATGACTAATACGTGGACAAATGTCAATCTTAATACGCGTTTTTCATTTTTATCATGATAGGACCAATCACTGGACAAAGACATCGTTGTACATACCAGTTTTCCTAATATTTGTCATTGTATGAATGATAATAAGTAGACTAATATCTCATTCAACCGACCAGCTTCCCCTTCTCGGGATCATAGAAGCGCTCGATGAGACTGATGACGGTGGACTTGCCGCATCCTGAGGACCCGACGAGGGCCAACGTCTTGCCCTTGGACACGACGAGGCTCAGGCCCTGCAGGATCTGTACGTCCTCGCGGTTCGGGTACCGGAAGTGCACGTCGTGGAGACGCACTTCGTCAAATTCCTCTTTCTGCAAGACATGAACAGGTTTTAATAATAAATAAAAATGAGATGAGCTAAACTTTACACTAATAATAGTGATTACCTTCCGGCGATACCTACAATGAGTTAAAACATACATGTGATGAACATAATCATCAGTTACTTTTTCGAGGCTACTACCAAAAAGCCGAATAGAGACCCAGCTTTAGGTAAAGTTAAAAGATCACTAAGTAAAGAATGTCTGTCAAAGTTTTCAACCCCTACATAAATTATCGACAATTCTATAGTCAAAGACCCTAACTCACCAGCGTGCGACCAACTGACGGCGACGAGTCGATGAGAGGAACGCGTGCCAGCAGCTTGAAGATTCTGGCAGCGGCGACTTTTCCTTTGGCGTAGTTGGGGGCGAAGGCGACGGCCTGACCAACCATCATCGTGCCCAAGATGAGCGCCTCTGCGACCCTGCCCAGGACGAGTTAAGTGTAAGACGTGAAATAATTATCGTAGAGATTTTAGACGAATTCGGGATCCTCGAATAACTGAAAATTACCGTTTAAAAAGATTGTTAATTACATGAATATTATTCTAAGGTCATTATTTAATGCGAGCAATTAACCGACGTTAATAAAATTCCACTTTGTGACATTACACGAGTGTTGTTAAGAAATGCAGAGCCAGAGTATATCACTTTCGATCTTTAAACTTTTCCGATAATGAGAACTATGAGGTCCGATTTTGTTCAGTTACAACCCAAGCTTTATTTTACAACTTAAGCAGAAGAAAACTTCCGCCACTGCAATATTGATCTCACTTGAAGACGTTTTCATAGGGCATAGTTCCTTTGTCAACGAGGTAACCACCGTAGAACATCACCACCGCGTAGGCTACGAAAGGCACGCATTGCGCGAAGCCAAATGCGGCACCTGAAAAAATAATTCGCACTCAACATGATGCAGAATCAGGACACAATTCCGAAGAATACATAACTCATACAAACTTAAACGAGAAGTTTCACGAAAGTATAAATTGTAATAGAAAAATATAATTTCGAGGAATATAAAAGGCAATAGTAAATTGTTTTTATCATACTTGATCCCATTCGACTGATGTTGACATATAAATTTATATACAATAAAAAATTCGAGTAATTTTCATGTTCGCAAACCGAATTTCATTCATGATCTTTACTTGTTTCATGCGTGACGGAACTCGAATTTTGCGATATAAATATTTAGAACGTAGTATTGGCTGGACTTGGAAGATTCAACTTCATTAGAGGATTCGAGTTTTGATATTATATATTATGTTAGAATATGAATAAATAATGGTTGAATAAGAATATGAATAAATAATGGTTGAATATATTTATTTCATGATTAAAATACGGAATCTCGTTCAACTGTGAAAATATTTTGCTAATCCAGCTTATTTAGTTATTAACGTCTTGGGAAGAGACTTGATGTCTAGTAGCTCCAACGTGATTGGTCGAGTTGCTGGTAGCCTCGCACCGGTGCACGTTTATTCCCCTAGAAAGTCTTGAACGATGGAGAGCTCGGTCTCTTCAGAATTAGTTTAGGATTATTCGACTATCAACTTGTGATTAGTTTGCCACAGGATCAAAATTATTATAATTTATTGTATTGTATTATATTATCTTCTTTCGTACCTGAATTACGAAGCTAGTTGCCAATGACGGAAAACCCTGATTTGGGGGGCGCAAAGCCCCCCGGTTTTACCCCGCGCCTCTACGCGTATTGTGCTTTGCACGAGCTGTCATTATTCTACTCACAGTACGTGCGATTGTAGAGCGAGGTAAAGTTTTCACTCTCGCAATCCCACAGCCCAAACCTCTGCTCCAATCTCGCTGGAAGTTTCACCACTATAAGTCGAAATTGAATTTCCAAACAATTTTTGCTCGTGTGACTTTTCGATAAAATGTCGTTTTCTATGCTTTTTTCACAAAAAACGGTGTTTTTTTCACCCTTTTTCAGAGGGAAATTTTTTCCACGCTCAATATCTCCCACACCGAGCCATAACTTTTCCCCAAACTTTGCAATTTGTAATCTAAAGCGAATGAGAGACATTGTTGTGAGATGTGTGTATTATAAAGGAAAAAAGTGTAAAATGAATGAAGAAAAAGAAGGGGGGGTGAGGTGGTGAATAACTGGTTCATTTTTTGCGCTGTAAACGAGGTATTGTGGCGAGATTGTTTTAGCGGAGTTACTCCTCGCGAGCAAATTGTGTGTGCTCAGTTTGACTGGGTAGGGGTCCAGGCGTTTCGAATCGAATTCGAAGAGAGCAAGATCTGGGCTTCCGAGACTCTACCGTAGTTATCTCGTAATGAGATTAACTAGCGGACTAAATACGGCGATGGTGGAGTTCTTAGCTAGTGCCAGTTGCTGGTAGCGCCATGGTACGGCTAGGTCCTGTGCCGAGCACCACTCGTGTTGTGGGGGCTAATAACCTCCGCACTGGAGGATATTTGCCAGCGATCTGGTGCAGCTTCTGCCGTACCGTTCCCGCCTCCCGTGTCGGGGGAAATTATACCTTCTACGCTCGCGAGTAATCAGAATTTGGCAGTGGATTAGGGCTCGTACCCCTCGTCATTGCAGTTGGTTGTCAGCACTGTGGAGCAGCTCGTACCTGTACCCCTGCTGTCCATTTCTGTGTTCTTGGCAGTGTATTAGGGCTCGTACCCCATAATAACTGCAGCTGGTTGTCGGTGTCGGCATTGTGGTGCAGCTCGAACCTATAGCCTTTCTATCTGCTTTTGTGGTTCTCGACAGTGTATTAGGACTCCTCGACGTTGTATCCCTGAACTTGAGATCTTGTCTCCCGGAGCTTCTGGAGTTTTAGCGAATAATAAATTGTGTGCCCTTGTACAGTGGAATTTATGTATCGCTTGAAAATCGCCAATACACTACGAAAAGTTCCTCGTCTTTATTCCTCCTCTCTCCAACGCAAGGGAATTTAGAGCCGGACCAAAGAGCGACTCTTTAGCCCTTGTGTTAAAACCAACACGAAAGTCACCACCAAGTCGGCACGCTCGCTCTAAGTATTTCGACTTCGCGGCGGTGCTTCCGGTTACACACGAGAAAAGATTTTGAAAGTAATTCGCTGTACAACTAATTTTTTTATAAGTAAGCAATCCGCGGGTTGTCCCAAAATCCCAAATCTGACCTCGTAGGTGGGAGTTGCGCAGAGCCAAGCGGTGAGGCTCGTGCAGCGCCTCGGCGTAGCGCTGGCTGAAGTGTTCCTCCTTGTGCAGACTTGCTACCGTCCGCACGTTGCTGATCGCCTCCATGGCAATCTGACATAAAATAATACCATTATTAACCAGGGACAATACACATGCGACCTTCAACAATGATTAGATTTCTGGTATAATTTTTACTGTATGGCATTAGCAGTCGTCTGAAAAATCTATACCACTTCATTCAGTTACTTATTGATATCGTAATAACATATTAAATATTATATTCACTGAGACCATTCTTGTCATTCGAATTTTACAACCACTCTATTTTTTTCTAATGAAGCTAGATATTTATTTATAAGCACTCACTTTGCCAGCGCTTTGCAGGACTTCCGACTCAGTGATGGACTGCCCAGAGAGAATTTTACTCTGAAGATACACAGCCACAAGTACCACGGGGATGAACGGTACGCACACGAGACCAAGTCTCCAGTCGTAGTAGAGAGCGAGACCCAAGCTCAGGCCCAAGGTAGTGAGCGCTTGCATGATGGTTCCTAGGCGCGATCCAGTCGCCTGAACAAGACGCAAGTTTGCTCATTACGGGAAACTATCGAAAATACGGCTAATTTGGGTGTAAGTCTACTAAAACTATCAGAAGCTCTGAAAAATATAAAAAAAACTGTACTGTTTGTATTTCTTCATTTTACCTTCGAACATGATTTTTTCTTTATATTAGAAACCAAAATAGTTAGGTTTGGGCATTAAAAACTAGGGAGTAAAACCCTAACCAAATGAAAAACCAAAGATATTCCTGCGGAAAAATCGGACTTCGGCAGTCTTGAGCTAGCATTATTTCATCTTAACGGTTACAACGCGATTGTAATGGTAAGCAGATGCGTGCTCAATAAAATAAATTAAACCTTTCGATTTCACTACATGTTTCTTCGCATCAACCCCCAACTCATGCAGCGTATTTTGAGGGCACGAAAAGCTAATTTAAAAAGATTCACAGTATAATATCCACTATTTTTATAATGAATGGGATTGAATGCAAGAATAATCATGTTTTTCTTGTGTACTCATGTATGAATAGAAAGAATAAAGAGTTCGCGAAGACACTGCCTCACCCCCTGCACTGCAGCGGCGTCGCTAGACAGACGCGAGCACAGCGCGCCCACCGAATTCTCATCCATGTCGAACCAGCCGAGCTCTTGGCTGAGCATCTGAGAGAAAGCTCGGCTACGCAGACGCATCGTCAAAATTTCTCCCGACAGAGCGAAGAAATACGCCTGCAAATTGAGATACAGTTTTCAGGGTTTTTATTTATTGTATAGAAATCACGAGCACTCCAGTCATCCATGGTTATTATTAATGCAAAATTTTATAATAAGCGAATTTTAGTTAAATCTAAATCGTAAAATTAACTGTTCAGAAGAAGTTCTTCCGAAGAAAGTGGTAGGAGACACACCTGCATGAAGGTAGAGATGGCAGCGACAATACCGATGCACAAGAACAACAGAGCGTAGAAGTTTGCTTCGGCGCGAGCCTCTGCAGGGTCAGCGATGGACAAAGTCTGAAGAAATCCACCACTTGTTATAAAACATTCCGTGACAGAGGAAATTATTTCTACTAAAATTATTTCTTTTATTATTCACTTATGGTTGAACTATGCAGAGATTCCAGTCAGATAAACCTCTAAATCACCTTTGCGGCAAACGAAAGAGATTTAGAAACCACTCCATTTTTCATTCCATATCCTGGTTCAAAATTCCACTCAATATAATATCAATATACTGTATGATAATGCATATGGTATCCAGTATACTCTAAAGATTTCTACACGTTGTACTCAAGAAGGAAGAGTCCTGACAGTTTCTGTTTAGCCATAATTCCCTAGTCTAGTTAAAAACTTCAGTCAGTAAATGGATTTCAGTCAATATATTTCTTATTATGATGCTGGTATCCTGGATAGTGGATACTTTACATGTCTACCAAAAAAAGTCTCTGATGTAGGGTTTAAAAATCAGATGTCCACCAAAAGTCTCCTATGTAAGGTTTAAAAAAATCGAAAAAAGTCTTTGCTCAGCCACTATGTGCCACGTACGCCGAGGACGTCGCCGAAAAGGACGGCGTAGAGCGGCGTGCAGCTGCCCATGATGACGGAGCCGACGACGCCCAGCGTGATCTGCGGCCACTCTGTCTTGTTCGCCTTCAGGATCTCGCGCATCGGGAGAGTCGGAGGCTTTTCTTTCTTCTGTTGCAGGATTATATCGCATTGTCAACCAAACATTTTGACAAGGTACAGCAACGAAAATCATCTTTTACTTATAAAATAATTATTAGCAGTAAATTGAATCTACACAATTAAATTAGGGAAATCCGAAGATTTCAACTCCCATAGATCTTGGTTAGTGCACCTGATTTAATCCATTTTACAGAATTTCAAAATGTTATTTGCATCCTCGATTCGTGCATCAAAAAGTACTCAAATTACAAGTGTCATTGATCACAGATTTATTTCAAGATTTTTGATACTAAAAACTAATGGAAAGGCCACAAAAACGATGGTAAACGGTGGTAAACGATTTTTCTCAACAAAGCTCACAGTTCTCGTCTGCTTTAAATTTTCAATCGACTGGTTGCTAGGTTCCATGACCCGATTTCCGTACTTAGGCTTAAATCTCTTTTGCGTAGATTTGGCTCTTCTTTGATTGTACTCGTATTATTCAAATTATTGCGACGACTTACTTTTTCCAGGGGAGGAGGCGAACGAATGTACACGGAGCCCCGAGAACGACGTTGCGTCCCCCGTGACCGCACTGATACTGCCGAGGATCGACGTTTCCTGAAATAAATCATGAGATTAAGAGAGCGATCTCAAGAACGTAGGCTATGGAGTAAAAATAGGGGAGTTGGTGTCCACAATCTACAATAGTGATTTTACGAACAAGCCACTCTAGATATGGTTCTCTGGCTGAAAAGTCATGCTACAAGCCAACATGGAGTGGCTAAATTGAAAATAAATGCATGGAATTATTAAATTTGATTCGAATATTTCACGAGCTATGGTAATATCTGTGACCTACTTAGAAATGGAGCGCCGTGCGGGCGACATGGCTAGCGAGGCGGTGATGTCGCTGATATCGTCCAGAACGTCGCGGTCCAATTCCGTCGCTGTTTCATACTCCGACTGCTCGGTAAGATCTTCCTCGAGAGCGCCTGAACAAACGACAACTTTCAATGTTAGAAGCAAGGGCGTCGTCATAGCGAAATTTAGATTTCAATATTTGGTTGATTTGTTATTAGAGGAGCGCATAACTCGAGAGTAGAACCATACTTATAAACTTAATGATGAATTTTATCGACATTCGATGTGGAATAAGAAATTAAACTCTGAAACCTTAAGCTCCCAAATTTAAAGCTGCTCCGTAAGATGCCAAACGAATTTTCAATCAAGTCGATACGAAAAGTAAACTTTTAATATTCACGTTAGTTTTCGACGTTGAAAGTGATCTAAATTTGGTAAAATCGTCCAATAATTAAACCAAAATAATATAGAAAATTATGAAACAGTATTTTACAAGTCGCACTTTTTCTTTCACTCGGAGCAAGCTGAGCAGTTACGAGTGAATGATAGAGGCCTCTTTTAGCCATGAGCTCGTCGTGGGTTCCCATCTCTTCAGCCCTGCCATCCTTGAGGGCCACGATGACGTCAGCAGACCTGATGGTCGTAAGGCGGTGGGCCACAATGATCGTCGTGCGGCCTTGGCGAGCCTGATGGATAACAAGAAAACTTTCCTTAAACAATCAAGGAACTTTTCTGGTGCATTACTCATTGAACAATCTACGGTTGACAGAAGTGGGACTACAGGATTAGCTGCCTGTAGTCGCTGAAGATGCGTAGACCAAGCGTCAGGTCGCAGGCAAGATTAGCGATGTTTCTGGGTCGATTGCCGGCACAAATCATAGATAATTAGAGGTGCGCTACCTCGTCACTTGGCAGCAAATAAAAGCAGCAATGCCTTCGCAACTGGGAATTTCTGTTAAGTTGGTAATTAATCATATCGTGAAAGTTAGTACCAAAAAATACAATTCTGAATTGGCGGAACTGACATCCGTGAAAATTGAGGAACCTAATTTCGAAATGGTCTAACAGACATCTATAAAATTCATGGATGCATGAATTTATGGAAGGTTTTACCGAAAACTAAATTCAGAGATAGCTTAAAATTAATGCAGCGACTGCGCAGTTTGACCGTGATTGACATCTTGTGAATGACATCAACGTACCTTATCAAGAGCATTTTGAACAATAGATTCGCTCTGGTTGTCCAGTGCAGAAGTCGCTTCGTCCAACAGGAGAACTTTGGGCCGCTTGACCAGAGCTCGAGCGATGGCAAGGCGCTGCTTTTGTCCACCAGACATCTGAGCACCTCGGTCGCCCACTTGAGTCTGGTATTGCTGCACAAGAAACATTTGATTTATAAACCAATAATCACTAAATGAATGGAAATTATTTCATTACTTTTTTGATGAAGAGGTATTCAAATTTTGCTGGAGTACTGAGCAGCTAAAGGCTTTCTAAACTTGAAACATCGACGACTTACAGTGCTCCTCCAGCTGAAACATTTACTCTCATTTTCGAAAACGATGGTCAATAGCTTTAAAGTAAAGAATCTCGTAATTGATATTCTAAATTCGTCACGTATTTCCTCTGGCCAAACTTTCTTTTTTAAGTTGATAGGCTAGTCAGAGGCTATACTTTTCTTTCATTCATGTATCGACTACAGCCGCACAGCTTGCTGTTCTTCATTCGTAACCTAACTAAAGCTTCAATATCACTACATATTGAAGTAGTCTCCATATCGTCTTTTCGTCCCGAGCACGAAAAGTTTCTCAACAGTATTACTGGCGGCAGAGTTGATTCTGCCTATTTAGGCGATCCAATGCAGTAGGGGCAAAATATTTCTTAATTAACTACGAATGACTTAATAAAACGTTTCTCAGCTTTAATTGTATCAGTCAAGTTGCAATAAATTACTTGGAGCTCCAGCAGAAGCACAATACATAGCTTGCGTTTATGGCGATGCTCACTTGAACGAAGTCAAAGACTGAAGCGAACGTTTTAAAAAGTTCAAATTCTCTGATTTGTAAAACATTCTAAGTCAATATCCCGCTTGACAATACCTGTGGAAGTTTCATGACGAAATCATGAGCATTGGCCTGCTTGGCGGCAGCGACGACGTCCTCGAAGGAGATTCCGTCTCTGCCGTAGCGGATGTTCTCCTCGATGGTCGTGGCGAAGAGTACGGGCTCCTGGCCGACTACGCCGATCTGGTCGCGCAGCCAGCCGATGTTCAGCGAGCGCACATCAACTGAGTCCAGAGTTACCTGAAGAAAGCGAGAACTTTCCTCTTGAGTGTTATGGTAGAACAAAAGGATTTTACATAGAACAGAACTATTATATAGAGAAAAAAAGCTATTTTGCGAATAAAAAAACAATTTTACCAAGAAAACAACTATTTTACCAAAAAGCTATTTTGCGAAGAACAGAGCTATTTTACAAAGAAAAGCTACTTTAAGAACTACTTTCAACTTAGTCGCAAGGAAATAATGAACCTTCTTTGTACAAAAAAGGAGGAAGTGCTGCAAACTTTAAAAATAAAAGCGTAGAATTTTTCATCTTAATTTTGCAATCTGGAGAGAACAATGAAGCGTCTCGCTCAATAACGTCTCAATTTTCTTGGTATGTCTTTATAGGTATAAATTTTACACAAGGTAAGAAGTGCTCGAACGTCGTGCCAAAAATAACAACATGACACATAACTCATCGGATTCGTGTTATCGCACCTCTCCTTGTCTGGGATCGTAGAAGCGCTGCAGCAGCTGAATGCACGTGGATTTCCCGCAGCCCGAGGAGCCCACGAGGGCGACGGTCTCGCCAGGCTGAATGCGCAGCGACAGGCCCTGTAGCACCGGCACGTCGCTCCGGGACGGATACTCGAAGTGAACACGCCGAAATTCTGCAAAAAATTAAAAACTCAACTTAATATTTACGATTATTCAGAATTAAGGCTCATTTTTTTCTTCCTTACCATAATTTTAATTTTCGAATGATACGTCACACATAAGACAAACATTTCTTTATTAACTCCACGCTATTACAAAAAAGCGCCGGGAAAATTACCTAGACATATTTAAGACATATGTCTCATACATGTACACACACTACCTTTATTATGGATTTCCCAGTATAATTACATATTTTAAATATTACTCGGGGTATAACTTACCAATGTTTCCGTGAACCTCATTTGGTCTGAGGCCGTCTTCAGACATGGGGTCGATGGCAGAGGGGCGCTCGAGGATGTCATACACGTTGGCAGCAGCACCGCGGGCGATGTTGAAAGCTTCCACAAATGGGGCAACTTGACCCATGTTCAGTGCGCCAACGAGGACACTGAAGAAAACCTGCAACGGGAAACTAAACTTTATTCTCATCTAGCAATGTCACCAAGCTTGTGAAAAAAGTTGTCACAAGCAAATTGAGAATATCATGCGAAAGTAAAACAACGCTGCAGCACACCTGATATTCGATCTGAAGAAAAAGTTTATCAATAGGATACCTACAAAAAAATTAATATTTCATGACGAGATCTCACCACAATAAGTACGGCAGGATCGTAATCGCCGTCGTTGGGGTATCGGGAATCAAGGATGAGTCCTGTGCCATACCAGAAGGCGATGGAGTAGGACGCGTAAATGATGAGCCACACCAGACCCAGGCTGATGCCCGAGAACATGCCGCGTCTTACGCCAGCGTTGCGAGCGTGTACCAAGTTAGATTCGTACCTGCCAAGTTATATACAGTTTCTCAACTCTTGCTCGGCATTCGAATGCGGTCGATTTGAGTAAACAATTGATATCTATAGGGTTAAATTTACATTCATTCCTCCCAAGGTATACCTAACAAATTTTAGAACAAAATAGTTACATTCGTACCTGCCACGTTTCAGCTTCTCAACCTTTGGTCATCGTTCACGTGAATGTAAATACAGTAATCTATCCACATTTGAAAGATGAAATTTACAGTCATTCAGCGTGTCCGAAAGTAATTTGTGGATACAGATCCTCATGTGTTTACCAGCAGACCTAGTTAGCTATGGGTCCACTCTGTCACTGAGAGCTTGCCGCAGACGCTGGGCCGACAGCTTATACAGCATATGTCACGAGGACAAGAACCCGGTGAACGGAGGTACGAAGTCTATAAATGGGCTGGTAACCTTGGTAAGGCCCCCCCAGAAGCAGAGCAGTAGCTCTAACTGGCGTTAGAGCTACTCCTGTGTCTTATCTATCACACATAACCACACCGTATCAAGATTAGTTCTCTAGACAGATGGTATCTTACGTATCCCTCACGCACTTAGTCAACGAATCCCTGTCCTCAGGTTCAGGTAGAGATAGGTATATATTAAGTCAGGTGGCGCTTAATACAGCGCCTGACAATTTCATACTGAATAAACCGATTTTAGGACATGAAAAAGTAATATAGAACACAATCACTGATCAAACTTGAAGAAGTAATAAACAAGAGTTTTTACCTTTTAACCTCTTTAGTTTCCCCACCAAAAGCTAGGACAGTCTTGATACCCGATAGAACTTCTTCAGCTATACTGCCAGCCTTGGCATACTCTGCCATCTCCTGAGTCGTGAGTGACGACTGGATCTGCACATCAGTATAAAAACCGAAAACTATGAATAGGCAAATATATATCTTGTTGAACTTTACACAATTAGAGGCGAATTTACAGTCGGTGTACAATTTCTTGAAAATGTTCATGTAAACAAACGGTCCAACATAGTTACTGCATCAAATTTAAAAGTAGGCCTAATCATTTTACGATTCCGCGGATCTCTGTTTTAAACAACATTTAGCAAAGCACGTAACGGTTTTACTTAGCAGTTTCACAAACAGAGCGTGTAACAAGAAATAATTCGAATTAAGTATAGGTGCTTATACACGAGGCGAATAGTTGCGTCGAATAGTCGACGCAACTAAAATTTGTGACGATTGACGTGTTCAGAGGCAACTAGCTGGTGCATTGCACGCAGAGCAACTCGAGTTATTTTGAAGCAGTCGAGTCACTCGAGTGTGCCCACTAGACCCGGCCTTCATACTGAGCAGTGAGCACGGCCACAGCCGCGTCGCTCTCTCTTGCCCACTGTCTGTAGCGCGCATAGCTGTCGAGCTCTCGCTTGCCTCCACCGTGCACACCCTTACTCGACAACTCCCAACGTCGCACTGGCGCTGGCGCACTGTATTGAAAAGTAAACACTCTCCTCGTGTATAGGCTCTCAGCCTGCAAAACTGTAGTCGACGCAACTAATCGCCCCATGTATAAGCACCTTATACGATGAAAGCAATTCACCATTAACAAAATTTCAGCCGATGATGATTGTATTTTAGTAAACGCACCAAATGAATATCTTCATAAAACGAAAATATGGCTTCTCTATTCGTAAGTTAAGACTAACCTTTGATATAAGTCCTGTGGTGATGGCTAGCAGAGGGAACACCGACATGATCACAAGGGTCAGCTCCCAGCCGTGCACGAAGGCATTAATCACATTCGCTATGAAAGTCACAAAGAAGAACACAAACATGCCCACTTTCTCTCCCATGCCTTCCTGTAGCTTGTTTAGATCTCTGTAGAATGAAGACAATTTTTCGGTATAATTTTGGAAACAATGAATTGCACAAAATTTCATTACGAAAGAACATTATATATAAAAATTAGAAAGTTAGCCACAATTACCACCTAAACTTGGCTTGTGTTCTGGAAAGACACGTCATTTATTCAATAAATTACAAATATCGGATGAAATCATCGATGGAGGACATTATTCATTATAATGTACACAATGCTCGCTATACACTCTCAACTGACTCGGTAACTTTGGAAGCGAAGTCGTTCGTTTTGTGCGTGTCGAACCAGCCCATCTCTTGGCGCAGAGTGCACCGCAGAAACTGCGTTCGAGATTGTAAACTGGTCAAACCTGTCCTTCTGCGGCGTAGTTTAGACACGTGACGAAGATGTAACCCGTCACCAGCTGCACGCCGCCGATGATTGCAGTGCCCGCACCGAAACGAATAACTTCGCTGAAGAAATCATCTGTGTACATGGCCTGGAACGTAGCATTCACCCTGACGAAGTACATAATTATTTATTTTTGAGCAGTAAGTAAAACTTTTCCTCATCATAATTGTGAACAATGTAAACTTTTTCACGATCGTTTCAGAATCACACATCGTACGGCCAACATCATTTCTTGCACAGTCGTACAACAGTTACAACTAAAACTAATACAACAGGCGTATAAATTAGCTGTCCCTGAGCTTATTTTCGACATTTTGTGGTGTGGTAAAGTTGAATTTTAAGCGAACTACTAACTCCTCGACTGTCATGTTGAGGTCGTGTGCGATGACGGTCAGGTTGAGGTCGCTGTAAACGAAGGCGTTGGTTATGTCACCGAAGAGGATGATCATTGCGGGCATGCATAGCCCGGCCAACGATGCTGCTGCAAGCGCTAAGATGATCAACGCGCGCTCAGTGCAGGTAGAGTAGCGGAACTGGAAGAATCACCATTAATTATGGATAAGTAAGATGTTTTTAAAACAAATATTGTATAGTCTCAATTGAATAGTTCTTGTTTCAAATTAACATTGATATTTGAAATAGTGAATCAATGTCTCCACAGAAGAAACATGAAATTATGGATAAGTAAGATATTTCTAGAACAAATATTGTATAGTCTCAATTGAATAGTTCTTGTTTCAAATTAACATTGATATTTGAAATAGTGAATCAATGTCTCCACAGAAGAAACATGAGCTGGGGTTTCTCTCTGACATATATTTCCTTCCTAGCAGTATTTGAACATCTTTAGCATCAGTATTTGAGGTACAATAAACTGACCAGCTGAAATACGCCCACTGGAGGCTTCAGTTCTTCCTTTTCCTCCTCTTTCTCTTCTGATTTTTCTTTCTCTTTCTTCTTGAATAGTCGCCTGAAGATGGACATATTTATAGAAAAGCTGCAAAAATTTTTCCAACGAAGAGATTTAGAATGCAAATATTTGCAAAATCTGAAGATGGTAAACAATATTGGACGCGAATCGATCCCTCGCGGCAGTACCATCGAGTCAAGCTTTGTCATTGAAAACGTGTATTTGTATCATGAATACGCGCCGTCAAGCAGCAACCTAATTCTTCCTATCGTAAATTGAGTGCCCGTTGGCAAATAGTGATAGCGAGTCAAAACACATACACAAAAGTGTACCAAAAATATTAGAATAGACAGTGATGGAAGAAATTCGAACAAAATCAGAGTTGAATGTTATCCCTCCCACGGTGTTCAAGCATCTCTACTCAGCGTAAAATAAGGACGAGCGCCGATTTAACGAACTGAAAAATTCACCTATTCTCAAAAATCTGTTTATTCCTTAGAAAGTTTGTTCATTTTTGAGTAATAAGTCAGTCAGTAGAAATGGATAGTTGCTATTGAACCACATATCCCAATAAAAACTGCATCCGGATATTACCAAAATCCGAGTAATTTTTTAAGTTTTGGAATCAAAGCACAGCAGGGTGTTCTGCTAAAATTTTTAAATGAAACTTTAAATTTAAATACGTATGTATTCTGACACAAGACAGAATTCTATCAAGAACTACAGCTAAATGGGAGTTTCATGATAAAACAGGTTTGAATGGCGCCTGCTTCAATTACATCACTTTCGTTAACAAATAATCATGAAGTTCCGAAAGACGATTTGAAGAAGACATCTCCACACCTCAGGGATTATCTAACCGGAATAACGTTGAGTTATAAAAGCGGAGAAATGAGGGGTGGAAACTTCTACATAGGCAAATGTTGGTTTATTTAAAACTTAAATAATTAGGTAACCCTTAAACTCATTTGCTCATTTGGCAAAGAAAATGATGTGTGTATGAAAACTTGTGACCACACTAAAGCCTGATAAATTTGCAAAAAATATCCTCACTAACTGCTGCAAGGAGGCCTCTAATTCATGACTGTCATCAATTAATTCATACAAAGTAGTGAGGTCTCTCACCATTTTGACGGCTTCTCGTCGGGATGGGCGCTGTCAGAGACAAAGACTGCGGTGTGGTCTGCCTTGTGTTCAGGGGAAATAGATGCCGAGGTGCCGTTCATCCATGGCTTTGGTTCCTTCGTTGTACAAGTACAAGTAGTTAAACAATTACTTAAACACAGTAAAAAATGAGCTTATCAGCAACTAGAAGCGTTCTCCTTATTGCAATTAATTCTCAGATAAATTTATATCAAACAAGAATAGACTTTCTTAATCAAATACTTCCATTCCGTAATTGAAGTTGTTAAATGTATTTACTACGCGATTTATTACACAAATTTAGAGGCAAACCATAAACTTCTTGCAACACCTGGCTCACCTCAGTAGATTCAAACGCACGGTTGGCGTTCCCAGTAGATCTTATAGAAGCACGTGAGGTCTGAGGACTCTCGTTGGAGTAATTGTTGTATGGCGGGACAGAGCCCGAAATGTGCTCGTCGCCGATGGAGTTAGCCACCATCCTTGTAACAATCTCTAACTAGGCTCTTATCTTATCTTATCTTATAATCAAATCACATCGAATACTTATTGCTTTATCTGCAATAAACAAATTTTTGGTCGAAAGTTTTCGTTTTTTTTACATCAAAAAATGTAAGTAGAAACTTTGAACAAACAACACTGGCAGGCTAACAATTTTAAAACAACTCTACAGGAAAATATTTTCTATTTAACCCCCAAAAAGTGAACGCTGTAAAACGCGATGAAATTAAGGCAAAGCAAATAAGAATGTTCGGTACAATTAAAAAAGAAATTAGAAATTTAATACCACTAAATATTACAACCTGAAAGCAATGGCTTGCCAACATCGCAATTGACTTTCGGTTAAAAAGCCGAAGTTTATCACAATTTACGATATAATTTATGCTGTGATAAATATTTATGGCTCCACAAAATCTGAAGTTACTTAAGCCCTTGTAAGCCCTAGAAGCTGATAAGAGGGCTTTGCTCTGAAATACAGTACAAAATAGTGTGTAACGTTGGGACCGCCGGACACATTCTGGTAGAATGTACGTACCTACTATCTAGACAGAATCATCAAGTATGCACGTGATCGCTAGAAATTCACTCGTGTCAAAACGTTATGAGCGCCGAAAAAACTAAAACCTGTATAATCGTTATTAATGAATTTTTGAAGCTCTAGGGCATATTTTTCGAGTCCTGTTGAAATAAGGCAAATAGTTTGTGCCGGAATGTTCTACGCCGAATGAGCACATAAATATGTGGAGTAATCTTTAAAGTGAAAATTACAACGAAGTGCGATCAAATTATCAACCTGCAGCAGCCATGAATCAACACTAATTTCAATACACGTAGCAAGATTTTGGCTACGACCGCAACACACTCCTGCTTAGGCACATACCTGTGACCTTGAGTGAGTGATAAGAAGGGATACCTAAAAGATAACGCACATCATCCGCATAACAAACCTATGATCGCGCGCTCAAGGGCTTAAGTTACGTTCTCTCTCTCTCCATGTGTGTTCAGACCGGAAGGTCGTTTAACAACTGTCGTTGTGCTTCAGTAATCGAACGTTCAGATGCTACCTACTCACTATGACGTGTCACTCACGCACGCAAAGCAATAGAAGGACATATTCGTTGCTCAATGACTGATGCACAACTTTGTTGCTCAGCTACTAGATACTGTACGAGTCATCAAAATCAATGCCCGATACTAATGCGTCATTGAATGCACTTCCAGAAAGAAAATTATGATACAGACAGTTAATTTTATACCGTATCAAGAAATTCTAGGGGGAAAATATAGTTTTCACGCGCACTTCAACGAACTTGATAGAATAAATGGATAATTTAGGATTAAAGATATTTAGATCAAAAATAACAAAATTGAAGTAACACTCCATGCTGAGTTCAAAATGACCGTATTCGATTTGAAACCTGCAGGGTTTCATCTACAGTAGAGAAAGTCCCCTAAAACTCTGATCTCTTCTGCTCATCTATTGAAACAATTTCAACGTACGAAACTTGTGATTGTAAAACGTAAATTTCACTGGACATTAGAACAGTTTCATTCCAATTCATGATTATCGACTTTTGCTTTTGGTGTCAGCTTAGAGAAACGATTCGGAAGTGAGGTGGAGCGCCGTTTTCATCCAAGTAAGGTCGAGGCTTTGAGTCTAAGATCGCTAAGTGTGACAGTGAAAGTTATTGTCACGCAACCGTCAGGTTCCGTAATACAGCCAAACGAGCACGGTAGGACATGTGGTAGCGCCCCCAGGAGTGTAGGAGCGCGTGCATCCTATAATGCAAGCTCAGTCATCCGAAAATAAATCAACGAGAAAGTGACACTTTTCAATTTCATTTCGAGTTATTGGAAAGTCAAGTTGATCATGAGTAATGCGTTGGTAAATTTTACAATAAACGAGTTTAACAGACGAGAACTTGTTATTCGAAAAGGCATTTCTGCATAATCTTATTAGTACGAAGTAAAATGAAAATTGAATCTACAATACTCTCATTTATTCTATTTGAATTTTTTCGGAAGACCTAGAACTTTCTCCTCATTTGAGATGGTGCCATCTGTTTACCTGTAATTAAGGTATTCAATCTATCGAACATAATTTTCCTGCCTGATACCTTATAGCCGCTTACGTTCTACGAGCCCTCTTTTCTGTGTAGTGTTTCTCTTAATATTACAAAGTATGATTTTTGAACATATAAGCTTTTAGTACGTATCTCAGTTGCGATTGTTTATAATTTCGAGAGATTGCGCTTCATTTAACCTTAATTTCGCAACATCAGATCAAATTTCAACCTGTATACATTAGCCTAACTAAAATTAATAATGGGGAGAAAAATCTTGGAGCCTTTTGACAAGATGATTGGAACTAGCAAAGACATAATATAGTCTACACGACATGATGATTTTGAAGGAATATTAAAAACACAACTAGGCTCTGAATTAATACTATAAACACGGCTATCATCAACACTGCTAGGTTCTAAACGAATGTTAAAAGAATCCCAGTTCTCCCTCAACCTCAAGGCATTCAGCTTTAATTTTCATGACCAAGTTATGACGTGAGGTTTTCATTGTACCTTGCTGTCCTTGCCTCAAAATATTATCGTAGATCATGGTAATGTTTTCAAGCGGATTAATGTCGCTAACCAAAGTGCGTATTATTTCTGATGATAGCTGAGCAGACCCACGCAATGAAGTGCATACGATGAAGTAAAATTTGCGTCTATAGTCCTGAATAGCTCACCAACCGCCCTGCTGTAAACAATCATGTGGACATTGTGCCAAACATTCGCTATAACTCCAACGTCCCCAAATGGGAGAGACCATATACAAGGGAGACTCAAGTATATATACAAGAGAGAGACAATTAACTTGCATGTTCAGAGCATATTTTTATGATTTGAGAGTGCAAAGAAGGAACTACAGCATGTTTCCTACCGTATATTATACCACATATAAATTCAGAAGTCGCAGTCGACTACAGAAATACCACTATTTAAACGTCAACGATTTCCATCTTTTTACAGTCATGTTAAGCGTATTTGCACGTGGCGTTAACAGATGTCCAAATTAAAGGAACAATTCGAATAGCTAATCCTAAAGTGGTTGAAAAAGTTCGACAAACTATGGAATATACAGAACAATCCGGAGTCAGGACTAATAGATTATCCTAATGTCAGAGGAAAATTATTATAATTTCAATTCGAACTTAGATAGGCTCCTAAACTACCGCATTCGCTAAATAAGGGCAGTCCGTTCTCTATTCTCTCCAGCAAGGACAGTTAGAAAAGAAAACGTTTGCGGATATGTTCTGTGTCACTCCTGCTAGTCATGAACCGATGACATTAGTGTTCAAGCTCCGACATATAAGCTTTTATTCCCATAAACTGTCAACAGTAAATAACCTTCAAATAATACATACTCTATAAACCGTAACGCTGTACCTCATTAATCCCCCCATCACTACCACTTGCCGAATCAACCTCAGGTCATATATATAAATATTTACCGAGGTGTGTGACGGAAATCGCACCCCCTGACGTTAAACAGACAATTTTCCGAGAACGAAAGGACAATTGATAACGGAGTGACAGAATGTACCAAGAACTTGCGCAATCACACAAGTCACGAATTCCACAACCCAACTGCAAACACGCTTAGGGGAAGGCAGTTCACCGTCGTTGGACAAAACTTCGTGGTGAAAGGCCCTACTTAACGGCTACGTCAGGGTAATGCAAAAAATTTACCGCAAAAAATCAACAGAAATAAACAACTTATACACAAGAAACAGATAATTTATAAACAAAACTAATCAATAATCGGGCATAGCCGTAAAATATAGCGTTTTGTGTCCCCTTCCTTTGGGTGACGTATGAAGCAGTTCCAGAATTGGCATTCAATATGAAACTTTCCTTGCCTCCGCTGCATTCACATTTCACACACTTCACATTTATTTCAAGAAGCCTCGGCAGTTCGTTCACTGACTCCTGAAACGGCAGCTAATCCAGTTTATTGCTGAAGCTTAGTTTCCTATCCTGCTTTGCAGTAGTCTGGATTGCGAATAATTGAAATAATCTAGTAGAATCTTCAACCACGGGTTGTTATTGGAGTTATCATGGAGTAAACCCTAATCTGCAAGACAATCCGGGGTACCTTCCTATGAGGACGTTAGCAAGGGCCCTACGGGAATTGGCGACAACAACGATAAGATTGACAGCTCTGGCCCCTGGAGTTCCAACTACCTACAACCTTGTCACGGATCACGGTTGTCTCTACGTGGGTGTAGGCAGCGAACGGAGTCGGGGTGAAGTCAGGCGCAGGCTCTCATCGCAGGATTTTTCGGTGCTTCAGGTTTTTATTAGGACGGAGCAAGCGGTGATGGAAGTGCTACACCTCACTCTTAGACCTGAATAAGTAATAGGCCCGTAAATTTAAATATTTTCTCGATCTTTCACTCGATCCGTCAATACATTTAGAGGCGTTTCAGAGCTCTAATGATAGATCCTGTTCGAAAATTTAACCTTTATTTGTGTAAATATAGAACGTGTGGTTTTCTAGATGACGTTTACCAGCTCTGGACACTTTCCGCTACGATACGCGTCTTTATTTCGTTCACAGATGCACTTAACGACAAATAATATTTTAAATTTCTTAGGTGCATTTCAAGAATTTAACCACGATTTTTAATTTTTCATGATTTACGGGTTGAACAGAGGCGAGAGCTAGTCGCAACTCCTTTTCCTCCTCACGCCCTGTGAAAAATGGTCGCTTCCCAAATTCAGAGGCAGCATAGACCAAATTCCAGAGCAGAAATAAGTTATTACAGAAAACGTACTAAATTATTATGACAAGGATACCTCAAACGGTTACAATGTTTCTTTCTCTATCAAAAGACATATAAAATTGAGATAACCATTAGGACAAACGGTTCCCCGACGAAATTCAGAGGCCTGGCAGCTTCTGATTGGAGTAATCAGAAGCTGATGCGGAACTAAATTTCGATTGGGTTAAGCCCACATCCAAGAACAGCGGTCACTGCTTGTACGGTGACGCGTAGCGCAAAAGTATTGAGCGTTGGAACGAGGAACCTTTGATGGTTTTCGACCAGCTAAAATTGCGATATCATAATATTTTATGGAAAAATATTTACATGGG